ATTTAAGAATAAAGTTGGAGTTTGTTCTTGTGCAACTGCAAATTGTGATCAAGTATTTTTATCATAACATCAGAGTATAATCCAAAAGAAATGCATCAATAACATTGTCCACTGCTACTTTAGTCAGTCCTATCAATTCTGGATGTATTGTTTCAGACTTTGCTTCATCAGGATACAATTCTTGCAAAGTATCTCTTAATACATCTTTTAATTATGAGTTTTCCGCAATACTAGACGATGCTTATATATTTATCTCTGTCTCCCAGGTAAAACATTTGAGGTATGTTAACAAAGTTATTCACTGTCTTTTAAGAGGTTTGCTTTTGTTAAAATACTACCGTATTACACGTGTCTAGTTTATAGACAGTTTTGTATTTTTCACGATATTCGCGATGCAGCTACACTCTCACACAGCATCTGTAACATGAGGAAGCTCAAGAAATGTCAACATGAGAGAGCGACACTGCCGTTCAATGTTAGAACTTTTATGTGTCAGTCTTTGTCGGTAAGAATGGAAAACACAATAACAACTGATCAATAGTGGATAAATTAAATTTCTTGAGGTCGATAAGTATTCGAGAATCGATAAGTAACCACAGTCGATAAGACACCGGAGAGCGATAAGTAACCATAGTTGATAAGTTTCCGGAGAGCGGTAAGTTACCGGGGTCGATAAATTTTCGGAGAGCGGTAAGTTACCAGAGACGATATGCTTCCTGTGATCGGTACGTTTCCCGGGAACGGTATGAATCTTTATTGCACATCGCAGACGAAGAGTGAGGTTCAAAGATTCCAATTTTTGGATAGATTCAAATAAGGATGGTACTTCCCACTTACCCAATGCAAATAAATCATACTATTTTCTCGAAGCAATCGATGTCATTAGGTTTGACATGCATTACGAAGGGCTGAGTAACCTGTGTAATCTCATAAATTTCTCGCAATAGGTAAATAACAACGATCATTTGTTTACCATCGACGCGCAGCGCCGCAGCGGAGGCGATCGTAAACGATTAGAGATTACTGGTACTTCTCAATCAGTTACGACAATAATGCTTAGATATTTCGATTCCTTATTCAATTTCGAATAAATGAGTGAAAAAAAATTTGGCAACTCGCAATTGTTAAATAACAACGTTATTATTCGACAATTTAGTTACTTTCCGTACTAGAAACAATGCTATTTCGGAGCAACGAGTGTGCAAATATGTTACGCGGAAATAAAGTGTGATGAAATATGCTTCACTGAGGGCTAACTTGTGCGGAAAACGCCAAATTAATGTGAATAGCGAATTTCCGATTTAAACATCCCTAGAAAGAAAGAAGGACCACTCAGAAACATCGAGTTGTATTAGGATGTGTTCTTGATGTATGAATATCTTATAAATTGTTTATGTTAATTTGTCAAGACCTTAAATAATGCACCAACAATTCATTCATATGCAATTTTAGACTCCACGCGTTTTGTGAATATATCCTGACTACAAATAATTCATAATATATAACAGTCATACCGGAGAAATGATATTGTTACTAGTAACATTAAATTTCGTCGATGTCAACGAAATTTGGATTTATCAGTATTGAAAAATTAATCGTACATGTGAAAATGTTCGCAAAGCGTTCAGGGCAGTGGAAACATGTTTCGAGCGTACAACGCGATAGATTTCCATCATACCCCACGCTTCAGAGAATGATTCTGGAATTTAGTTACTTTCAGTAATAGAAGCAATGCTATTTCGAAGCAACGCGGACGCAATTATGTTACGCGGAAAAAAAATGTGGTGGAATCTGCTTCACCGAGGGCTAATTTGTACGAAAAACGTTAAATTAATGTGAGTAATGGATTGTGGATTGAAACATCCCTAGAAAGAACGAAGGACCAATCAGAAATGTCGAGTTGTATCACGTTGTGACCTTCTTTGATGAATGTCTTACGAATGACTTCTGTAACCTTGTCTAGGGCTTAGACAATGCGCCAACAATTTATGCAGATGCAATTATTATGTTCACGCTTTGTTTGAATAACTACTGTTTACAAATATTTAATAAAATATAGACATCTTTTCTGAGAAACGATATTGTCCCTAGTAACATTATATTTCGTCAATGACAAAAGGATTTGGATTTATCAGCATGGAAATAATAATCGTACATATAAAGAGAATTCAGAAAGCGTACAAGGCAGTGGAAATATGCTTCGAGCGTACAGCTCGATAGAATTCCGCCATACCAGAAATTGCAGTAATTGATTCTGGAATTTAGTTACTTTCGGTAATAGAAGCAATGCTATTTCGAAGCAACGCGGGTGCAAATATGTTACGCGTAAATAAGATGTGGTGAAATCTGCTTCACTGAGGGCTAACTTGTGCCGAAAACGCCAAATTAATGTGAATAGCGAATTGTCGATGGAAACATCCCTAGAAAAAAAGAAGGACCAATCAGAAACGTCGAGTTGTATCAGGGTGTGTTCTTGATGCATGAATACCTTATTAATAAATTATGTAACCTTTTCAAGAGCTAACAAAATGCGCCAACAATTCTTTCTGATGCTATTTTAGAATCAACGCTTGCTTTCTATAAGTATTGTCTAAAAATAATAGTTAATGTATAAAAGTCTTAACGGAGAAGTGATATTGTCACTAGTAACATTATATTTCGTCGATGTCAACGGGATTTGAGTTTATCAGTATTGAAAAAAATATTTATACCTTGAAAGTATTCAGAAGCGTACAGGACAGTGAAAAAATACTTCCAACGTACCGCGCGATAGAGTTCCACAGTGCCCTCACTGCAGAGAAAGATTCTAGGATTTAGTTACTTTCGGTATTTCAAACAATGCGATTTCGAAACAACACGGCTGTACATATGTTACGCGAAAGTAAAATGTTATGGAATCTTCTTCACTGAAGGGTAACTTGTGCCAAAAACGCAAAATTAAGGCGAATAGTGAGTAGTCGATTGAAAGATCACCAGAAAGGACGAAGGACCAATCAAAAACGTCGAGTTGTATCATATTGTGTTCTTCAAGAACGAATATCTTACGAATAATATCTGTAACCTTGTCGAGAGCTTACACAATGTGCCAACGATTCATTCATTCACAATTTTAGAGTTCACGCATGTTTTGAATACGTACTGTCTGCAAATAAATGTTAATATATATTCGTCTTAACGAAGAATTGATATTGTCACTAGTAACATTAAACTTCGTCGATTTCAACGAAATTCGATTATAATTATAAAAATAATTAAAATAAAGCTTTGATTATAATTGTCTGCATTAACTTCTATTCTTCCATGTCCAATGGTATCGTATTTTCATCAGTGACAAAATCATCTGGGCAATACAAATTTCTAACATATTTTTGGGTTTGCGACATAAGAAAATTATGCAGGCATACTGCAGCTTTTACAATAACATCTGTATGATGAGGGTGACAGGAAATAGGCCTTTCAAATATTCTCCAGCGTGCAACCAGTATTCCAAAGGCATTTTCTATACATCGTCTTGCTCTCGACAGTCGATAATTGAATATTCTTTTCTTTTTATCTAGCTGACGTCCAGGATAAGGCCTCATAAAATTACTTTTCAATTGAAATGCCTCATCTCCAACAAAGAAATATGGAGTATCAAAATCACTGTTTGGCAACTTCTTTGATTCTGAAGGTATATCAAGGATACCTTCTTGTAAAGATCTTCCAAACTCACTTCTTGCAAGGATTCCCCCATCACTTTCTCCTCCATATGCACCAATATCAACTACAATGAATTCATATCTATATAAACAAATAATTATGATTACATTTGTATAGTCTCATTTTCACTCAATTTCAGTAAATAAAAAACAATATTAGATAAAAAAGCATTTGAATTCTGAAACATATTTAAAAGGTGTACATTCTACAAATTGCTTTATTAATTAAAAAAAAAAAAATGATTACCTATGATTGCGAGTAGCCAACAATACAATACTATATGTTTTCTTGTAGTTGAAAAATAATGAGCCAGAATGTGGAGGAGCTCTAATAAGGATGTGCTTACCATCCACAGCACCAATACAGTTTGGCAAATTCCAATCCCGCTCAAAACCCTTACTTATATTTCTCCAAACTTGTTGAACGGGTGGGCGTAAATATATTGGGGAAAGAGTATTGTATATAGCAGAACAAGTATTATATACTATTTGACGAGCAGTTGATTCTCCTATCCTGTGTTGAATGGCAAGAGAAATGATTTCATCTCCAGAGGCTAAGTACCTACACACAGTTTTATAATTATACCTAAGTTTTTGATAGAGAAAAATTTTATTTGTTTGTATAAAAAATTTAACTTATACAGTCTTACCTGATTGTTAATATAAGTCGCTCTTCTACAGAAATAACATCAACTCTTTTTCTTTTTCATAGAGATTTTTCTAACAAGTGTTTCAAGTAAGTGAACGTTTCTAGATCCATTCTACTATATTGAAAAAATAAATCTGGATCTTCTTTCATTTCTTGAAAGGTGGTTGAAAATAATCCTTTCTCTATTCGTGTGCTGTTAATAGGACGAACAAACCACTGCCTACTTTCCCATTTTTTGGATTTTATGTCGCTACAAAATTTCAGGACATTATTTAAATCCATTAAAACTTCATTTAGAAGCTGTAATACATGGGCTAATTTAGTCTTTGTATCATTCATACTTATTTATTACTTTAAGTATTTTTTTGTTTAATAATACATACAAATTGTCTATACAACAGATAACACTTTTGCAAATTTAGTGTACAGGTGAAAATAAAAATACATTTCACTTGGAATCGGGTTAGGTTTAACGTTGATACAAGTATGTATCACGTCGCTTGTATCATATAACTTATCTTGTAGCATATATCACCGTTTCGTGCGGTCGGCTTAAGCGATGCACGTGATATCTCGCTTTCGCTTTCGTCAGCACGTTTTATCGGTACCGAGTACGTTTGGAATAATTATTTATTTTTAAATCGGTTGTGCGCGAGATATAAATGTACGCTATTTCGAATTACTGAACATCGTATGCAAATTGTACCTGATCTGACACGATCTGTCGTCAAGTCGTCCGACGACGAATTTAAGTAAAATTTACTTATCATGGTTAGTTTGGGCACTCAGCTTATTTGAGAATTTATAATTAAATACGCGGAATTAATGTCTGAGAGCGGAATATTTCGAATTTATCGCTATGCCTATCAGTCTGTATATTTCACGTGGAAAATTAAACGTGAGATAATTAAATATTGCTTTCTACGTTATAAAAATTTGCTTATCCGATGAAAGATTTTAAAATAGTCATTAGTAAGTAATCATTAAGCAGGAAGAAAGAGAAATATATCTGTAAATTTTCAGTAATTTGTTGACCGCTACCAGTGATACTTTTTGATAATCATATCGCTGGTTTTGCCTTATCGAAAAAAAAAACAATGGGAGAAAAGAATTGGAATGGTTGGAGACCCTTTGTATATGGAGGTTTAGCATCAATTATCGCGGAATTGGGTAAATTAATAATTAAGAAGTAATGATTCTTACATATGTTGTTATCAAGCAAGACTTTGTACTCACAATCTACACTATAACAAAAGAATAATTTTAAAAGTGTAACATTTTACTGTTAATAAATTCTAAATATTTAATAAGTGAATATTTAATAAATTTTAACCAACTTATATCAATATATTCTGTAGGTACTTTTCCACTGGACACGACAAAAACACGGTTGCAAGTGCAAGGCCAGAAGTACGACCAAAAGCTTGCGCATTTAAGATATTCTGGGATGACTGATGCTTTATTGCAAATATCTAAGCAAGAAGGATTAAAGGGACTATATTCCGGGTAAGTGTTTTGGTACTCGGAAAGAAAATTATTGTCTAGAAATAATCTCAATTTTATACCAAATGCTGATTTTTTGTTTCTTCTTCTTGCTGTCCAGAATCAGTCCTGCTATCTTAAGACAAGCAACATACGGAACAATCAAGTTTGGGACTTATTATTCCCTGAAGAAAGCTGCTACCGACAGGTGGATGACTGATGATTTAGTTATAATTAATGTTATATGCGGAGCATTAGCCGGAGCTATATCGAGCGCTATCGCTAATCCCACTGACGTGGTGAAAGTTCGTATGCAAGTCACTGGCAACGAAACAAACATGTCGCTATTTGCCTGCTTCAAAGATGTGTATAAACACGAAGGTATCCGTGGGCTTTGGAGGGTAATAAGTTCTTCTTATCACTTCATATCATTTAATCACGCTTGTCACACCAAACTGTTTGAACTAGCACATATTTTGAGATAAAAATGATAATAAAAATTAAATACAGACAAGATATTGGATTATTTAAACATCGTAATATGTTAACAGTTTTCAAGTTATATTTCAAAATTGATAACTTCTTAATTCAGCGGATAATTCATAACTGAGAGATATTTTCAGAAATATTATCTAAAGAGAGCTTGTATCTTATCACAATCAAACTTTCTACAGAAATATGCATGTATATGTATGTATATATATTTTTTTTTTTTATCTAGGGTGTTGGACCGACTGCTCAACGAGCGGCCGTTATTGCAGCTGTAGAATTACCTATATATGACTGTACCAAGAGTAAATGTATGAGTATATTGGGGGATAGCGTTAGTAATCACTTTGTGTAAGTTTTTTTTTTTTCATCAGTAGACGCCGATATCATTTTTACACGGAAACATATTTGGAGGATCCGAAATATGTCTGAAATGTGTTCGTCGATGTCGATAATCGAAATATTATCGTTTAACTTTACTAATTGTTTACAGAACCAAAGGTCCCGTCAGTGTATATATATACCGTTCATATCTTTACATCTATATCTATTCGCACGTTTTTCATTGATTACATTAATAATTACCAGTGTCGATTAACCCTTATCCGGGTCTACTGAGGCCCATTTCTCACAAGATGGTCAATTCACACAGCACAAAACATGTATACACGACTTTGCAATTTGCAACTTACTCAACTATTCTTGTTCCGATACGAGATGGTGCATACGTGTTAATTAATTATGAACTGCCATCGTACGTAAGCACGAGAGAATGGCTCTGTGTGATCAGTTTACTTACTGAAATAGACGCATATAGAAAAATGCACGCTACTCATTAAACGCCAAGCGAAATGGTTCAAGTGCATATATTTCGAATTTAACTGGAGGATGAGCAAATAATATCGTCTACTGTCTCTCGGCACTAATCTAACCGTCTCAGAACGCTTTGACTTAAACGACGATTAGCTCGGTCGATTTGATTTCAAAGCATCTCCAACTTAGAAATCACCTTGCATATCAATCCGGAGACAGTTTGCTCTTGGCTGGGCTTCTGAATCTTCGGCGATTCCGAAAATCGTATGCGATCGTTAATTGCGCGACGAATCTCTGAAATATCCCGTGTATCGTATCCGTTACCACACAAGAGAGAGAGAGAGAGGAAAGAGTAAGGCTCTCCTAAAATTGTAACATTTTATTTCCAGGTCCTTTGACATTGTCACGCGTATGGGCACAGACGGATTTTGAGATGACCAGAGAGGCTTGACACGGACGCTGTGTTCAGCACTCTGTGTTTAATACAAGAATCGTTAAGACAATCGTCCGGATGATTAAACGTGTTAATCTACCTCGCAATGGCTTTTTGGTTAGCACTTATGCGTCTTAGAGCTTTGGAAATTTCGATAGATCACTAACCATACGCTGTATAAGTTTCTGATCCCCCCCTCTTTTTTTTTACCGTAGAAAAAAATGATTTGGTTAGATCAACGCTTTTGATTTCTACTCGCATCTGAAAAGTGTACTTGTTCGCTCAGTCGAGATGTTAATCTTCATCTCGTAGGTGTATTTATACATTCTTAACTCTCTAACGCGATCACCTGGATAAGGGTTAATTCTAATTCGTAATGTAAACCCCGGTGTTACAATTTAAAATTTAAAAACGACTCGAGTATCGCGCGCGATATTAGAGAAAATCACGTACATATAGTTTCGCAATAAAAAAAGAAAAATACGACGTGATGTTTAATTAAGAAAGTGAGATGTTTATATCACACACAGCATAAGCCACGCTGCAAGTGTGCTTGACTTTGATTATAATTTTTCAGATCGAGCTTCGTGGCTAGCATGGGGAGTGCTGTAGCCTCGACACCTCTGGATGTCATTCGCGTGAGTAGATTGTCTTATTTTCGCGTCGGTTTGCGACGTCATCATAGTCTTCTATAAATTGCAGTTTTCTTTCTTCAGACACGACTGATGAATCAAAGGAGAGTGCGGATCGCTGGCAGTCAACTTCCGTCGCACATTTACAGAGGCAGTATAGACTGCTTACTTCAGGTATAAAACTTCACGTCCGCATATTATTTTCAAGATGTTCTATTCAATGTATCCGCTTTAAGAATAATTATTCCTATATTTTACGCAGACGATAAAGAACGAAGGGATTCTAGCACTGTACAAAGGTTTCGTCCCAACGTGGTTCAGGATGGGACCGTGGAATATTATATTTTTCATTACCTATGAACAGTTGAAGCAACTGGACCATTTGTGATGCATCGGGATATTATGTTGAAATATTCCAATTCTTCACTAGGACAAAGATTTCGAGAATGCTTTCTAATATGAACATGATTCAAATGTTCTTACCTAATAATCTCAGTTATATGCGAGCCAACGGGCGCAGTGAAAGTAACGTGTTAATTAGTTACCTTCGTACGGATTAAGTGTACACGACTAAAAAAATTGAAGTACTTTTTCAGCATTAATAGAATCAGGGTGAAATTCAAAGGAAGAAAGTAATTAGAAAATTCGAAGAGCTTCTTAAAGTACAAGCTTCCGCGAGAGGAATCTTTGCTGGTTGATATTTTTGGTGTAAAAAAGAAAAATGTATCGGAAACAAAATCCTCTCTCACAAAACTTGTTGCAGACTCGCGTTCTCTATTACTTCCAAGAGGTCATCGTAGATTCGCGAGAGCCTGTGTACTAAAAGTCTTAGTAAAATTATATAGCGACTACAAAAAGCTTTAGGACAATATATGTGCAGATATGAAAATTCCAATATTCCCGTTTGGTCTATCGCAATATTTTGTATAATACTAGTCATTGTTATTAGCGTGCACACAAATAATGTTGATTCATCTTTCAGTATTTTTACGTAGCATTTATAGTTTGTATTTTTGGCACACACGCTAGTCATTTTAAGAACTTTTTAATGAAGCCAATACCAAATGCGAGCAGAGATTCACCTGTTACTATTAATATCGTGAACTGAATCAATCAATCTATTTCCCAAAATTTCAATTCTTTCATGTTACATTACGAGCTTATATAGATGTGACGCTAAATTTTAATTCTTTACGCAATTGTGCGAAATGACGTCTTGTATGAGTAACTTTATCTACCATAGTTCTCACTAAGTAAATAGACTTACGTTCTGTAGTACAAATATTTATGATGCGTTCAATATTTACTGTCTTTTTTTATTTAGCTCATTTTTTGTAACAATCATTCGTACATTGAAACATAATCATTCGCACATTGAAACACATAGATATTGTGATGGTTCCTTCGCATGGTGGAATTCTTTTCATTACGATAGGAAGACTGATTAACGCATAGCTTAAAAATATTACTTTGCAAAGGGAAAGCGGAATGTAACATTACATATCACTACATACATACATTACATAAATTACATTAAAAATTTAATGTTAGTGTGACAACCTGCATTTTATTGAGGAAAACAAACATCTGATGTATATAATTGTACTTCTTCTATTTAAAGTGCAAATGTATATTTATGTTGCGCAAAAAAGAAAAGAGGAGATCCTGGACGACGTAAAACGCCTAAAGACAAATTTTCTTTCTTGCGCTTTTGTTAAATATAAATTATATATTTCTGCAATTCAGGAATTTGTGATATAAATATAGGGTCTGCTATTATACTATATATATATATATACAACAGGTATTTTATTGTAATAAAACTACTAGTATATTGCTAAAAAAGATATTAGACCTACTCTCTCTTTAACGCGAAATCTCCTTTATCCTACATCAGAAAATACTGTGTCATTAATTATGACATTTCCATACAATGACTTTCTTGTCTTTGCCACCGGTTATTATCAAATTATTATCAGCTGCTACTGCTAAGGCCGAAAGTGACTCTAAAAAAACATATATTCCAATTATTCAGAATCTATTTTATAAATCCAGCTTAGAACAGTTTAACATAATTACCAAATGGCTAAATAACAAATTTAACTTTTATATTTTAAAAGAGAGAAAAAAATGGAACCAATGAAAAAGTTTAAAATGTGTGTACAGGCAGACAGTTGCGTGAAATTTATTATTATAAATTTTATGTGACAGCATATTTAAATTGACATTTTGTTAAATATTAAAATATATTCCCTAAGATGCTCGTAATATCGAGGTACGATCAAAAAAATTTACAGATTATTTTTCTCCTCATATAATGGTTCCCACTCACGTTCTGTTGCAATGATCCCATCAATATATCGTTGTTTCTTGTACACTTCTTGAAAAGCAAAAGTATTAATCTCACTGTTCTTTATTGTTTAAAATACTTCTGGAAATCAGCTTTTTCAGATTCGGTATGCAATGTCGTTTCTTGAATTAATGATATGTTACTTTTGCTCTTTCGGAAAAAGAAGTCACAACAGTAGTTAAAACTGGCAAACATGCGTAATGTGGGATAAATTCGGATCGAATCCATAATTCGATACACGTTCTCGCTCGTGTCTTTTTGGACATGCTACCCTTTCGTATGTTCTGTACTGAGCGGGAAATAGTTCATTAGACCTCACCCTAACACTATCATCTACAAATTAAAAAATATACTTCGATCTACAGAGCTATCTTTCACGGTCAACTCGCGAACTTTTCGATCATACCTCGTACGAGCGAGACACAACTGCCGGAAAATAAGCTATCACACATATGGTGGTCCAACTAATAAGAATGTCGTTTTATAACAATGCAGAATTTACCATCGTGACAATGTATTTGCTTAACAAACACGGTCTTCCGATAGTCCCATATGTGAACGTTTCCATCGTTGTCTCCTATCAACAGGAGTGGTCCCATCCACGTTACCGTGAGCGGCTCGTTTTCCAAACTGACGGAATATATTTGCGTGCTTGTTCGAACATCCGTTACATTCAATACCCCATCTTCGGCACACGATATCACACTGCTGCACTGTTTATCGAATGTTACCGCGTTTATTCTACAAGTGTGGCCTTTAAACAAATGCAATATTGAATCTTAGAGAATGATACTACCGTTCGAAATACATCTTATTACAAAAGAAAAAACGGATATGTGTACATCATAATATATACTTATTTCCTTTTACGACAAAGAGATTTTCTCGGAATTGAAATGATTAACACGTTGACTGCCAATTACGAGAATCTCGTAGGTTATTTACTTGCCCAAGACGCCAACTACGAGTTATCTCGTCGCTTCATTACTTGATTAAATCAAATTGGCTTATTAGATCAGAATCGTGAAAAGTTCCGTGGCGGTCAACGTGTTAAATAAAAAAAAATTTATAAAATAAAATGAAATATATATAAATAAATATTAATATACGAACAGTTTAAGTTCAAGTAAGATTCATGATTTGTAATGTACAACTTTATGCGTATTATATTACGTTGAGATGATTATTTTCGATAATTCAAATAACAATAACAACCCATCAGCTGTGTGGTTACGAAGGAAAGTGTGAAAATGTGTATTTACCTTTGATAGTATATTGCAGATCATAAGTATCCATGTTCCACAAACATAATTCGCCGTCTTCGGTACCAGACACTAACATGGCATCGTCTCTGCAATTAGCACGAAGCAACTTGATCAATTCACAGGCACAGTAAGATGTAAGATACAATAGAAACAACACATATCGTATATGTTCATACTGTGAATATGTATTACTACTAAAGGCTAATTTTGAGAAAACATTTTAAAAAGAAGCAATTTTCTTATTCATCCTATTCAGTTTACCTGGATATATCGATACAAGTTACTTTGGAATCGTGATCCAGTTGCACGATAAAACATTCTGTGGGTTTGATCTTCGTGCCAGAAGTATATCCGCGCCAAATTTTCGCCGTGCAGTCCCACGATCCGGATACAATGACCTGACGAGCGGAGTTCCACGCTAAGCAAGACACTGCGTCCGCGTGTCCTTGCAGGATATCGATTACTCTACCGAACTCTATGTCGTAGAATATTCTGGAAAAGAGCAATGTCGTTAAAATTGCATGTACACGGTATGACCCGAACGAATGTGTAGAAGTTTAGTAGAAGATTTAGGAGCATTTGTATATTTATCTTTATACTCTTTACGCTTCAAAATTTGTTGACCCTTCTTTTTGGATCACCCTGTACGATCTCCCATTTTCATGCGCACATAATACGGGTAGTATCATATTTACAAGGTATTGTCCCAAGATCCTGCTACGAGAATGTTACGTTGCGACGGTGTGTAATACGAGATGCATGACGACAAAGACAACGAGGACAACTTAACGCTACGTGTCGCTTTCCTCTCGCTTATGTTATATAATTTAAGCATCCCGTCCTGCCCTACTGATATGATTTCATTACACGAGCTCGTATTTTTTTGCACGATACTGCTAACGCAGCTCTTGTGTGCTTGAAAAGCTACTAATTCTGTGAAATTAAATGATCTTTCCTTTACACATGCATTGCCTGAAAAATGAAAAGGAAATATATTTAATGAAAATAATATTATGTGCGAGTGCGCGCGTATGTATGTGTGTGTGTATGTGTATATAACTACAAAGAAGAAATATAAGAGGAAAGAGGAATGATGACACACCTTCGTCAGTTATTTCGGGCAATGACAATAATGCTGCGGCTTGCGTTAAATTCACAGTCGACGTTAGTCGTTTGGGATGAGGTAGAGTGAAGACTTGCTTTGGTATCTGGCCGAATTCCATGATTTGCACTTCGAGCCCGTGTCTATCATTTATGTCTCGTACAGTATCTAAATCTACTGCCCCTTCGTAACATAAATGGAAGAATACTGCAATAAAGGATATATTGATTAAAATATTGATTGTTAATATTATTGATATATTAAATAAATATTATTATAAATTATACATGAAATATCGAATTTTTACCGTTATCAGCCTTTTCCGCTTCAACTCCTCTTTGTTTATATCCAAAGATCAAGTCGATCCAATGGTGAAGATTTTGCGAAACGTATTCACTTTCTAAGGCATCTCTTAATTTTTTTATAAAATCAGATGGGCCTAAATCAATAAAAGTATCAAGTCACGTGTAATATCAAGTATTTTATTCTATGATTGGTCACGCAGATAATGTGGAACGATTCACTTTAATATTATTTAGCACGGGATTTAGCATGGTCTCAGAATCTGAGCAAAAATATAGCATGCACTCGCGTTTGAAATGAAAGATGAATTTCCTAATAAAAAATCCTAGTCCTAGCATGTACGTATCACTTGTAAAAATAAATGGTAACCAATAATCTGGTAAAAATCAGAAATCTTATTACTTTCTGCCCAAGGAGGAAGCTGTACATCGTTTATTTTGGCACCATCGTGTCGATGACCAAAGTCGATACCATAACTGTTAATTAGAAAGTCACCACCGTTGCTTGTGTCGTAAAACTCCGGTATCAGTTCTTTAAAGTCAGACATGTTCACCAAAACATTTTTCCATACGTCAGCTATACTGTTAAGTATTTTTGTTGTAATAGGAATGAAACATAAAATTATTTCTGTATACTTAACAGGGTAATTACGTACTTTTTAATTATATTTAAAGCACTTCTAATACTTCATCTTTAATACGAGGTCTGTTCAAAAAGTATCGCGAATTTTGTGTTTTTTCAAAAATTATTTTTTTATTCATGAATATCTATTTTGTCTCCTTCAAAGTAATCCCCATCAGATATTATACACTTGTGCCAACGTTTTTTCCAATCTTCGAAGCACTTCAAAAAATCATTTTTTGTGATCTTGTTCAGCTCCTCCTTCGATGCCGTCTTTATCTCCTCAATCGTAGCGTAGCGAAGTCCTTTCATGTGCCTCTTCAGTTTCGGGAACAAGAAAAAGTCACAGGGGGCCAGGTCTGGGGAATACAGTGGCTGCGGCATCGTTAGTGTGTTGTTTTTGGCCAAAAATTTGCGCACAAGCAACGATGTATGAGCAGGGGCGTTATCATGGTGCAAAAGCCAATTTTTGTTCTTTCAATCCGGGCGTTTCTGGCGGATTGCTTCGCGCAAATTGCGCATAACTTGCAGGTAATATTCCTTATTGACCGTTCTACCCTGTGGTAAGAACTCATGATGCACCACGCCCCTGCAATCGAAGAAAACTGTAAGCAAAACCNTGTTGACGTGCTCGGGCGTCCGGCACGCTCTTCGTCGTTCACATCTTCTCGGCCCTCTGAGAGCATTTTGTACCACTGATAAACGTTGCTTCGGTCCAAGGTAGCTTCATCATATGCCACAGTCAACATTCGGAATGCGTCCGCACACTTAATTTTGTTTTTCACACAAAATTTGATACAGATTCTTTGATCCATTTTTTGGAATAGGCAAAAATCGAAGACGAGCCAAAACACGTCCAAGCAAAACAGCTGTCAAAGATAAACTGAATATTCAAAATGGCCGAACTTGTCGGCATAAGTGAGGGACATGAGTACCAACATAACGCCACAAAAAATCGAAAATCGAATATACGTAACCCGCGGAAATTCAAAATTCGCGATACTTTTTGAACAGACCTCGTATAACTCATGAGTGACTTTGTCAGAACGTAAGTTTCGTTTCATGTTTATTGTATTAATTCATGTTTATTGTATTAATTTATGGATATTTTAAAATATCGAAAAAGTTGAAGGAAAATCATATATGTGTGTATATGTATGTGTGTGTGTACCTGTTGAACATTCTATCTGGGTGATCAAATCTTCCATTCTGCAGACAAAGCATATACTGGGGATATTTTCGCACTAAGTAAAACAATACAAAGCCTGGTGCACTGTAATGAGAACCATATAAAAACTTTGGGTCAGACATTTCCGAATATCGCTCCTGTAACAATGTGAAAATATAAAAAGGAAAATCTCGACATGTACTTCGCAAAACGTCGGAACGCGTACTGTATATCGTATATGTGACAATGAAATCGAATTCGCCGTACCTTTAGCCTCTCCAGACGGGTAGGATTTAACGCGCCAATGGGTTTCGACAGATCTCTATAAACATTAATATCATTTAAATCTAATGTCGTGGAAATGTAATTCCGTATAACCCAAGGAAATACTGGGTACTGCGTCAGATCGTGAAACGTTCTATCCGCTAAACTAAAATGTAAGATAGTGAATTAGATATATTCTCCCGTATAATACTTCAAGTCGATAACTTCCAAACTTTTGTATAATCACCTGTTTATGTATAGAATGTAATCGTAATTCGATAAGTATCCATTGCGCCATCTCAGCAACATTTGATTTTGAGGTACGGTATCTAGGGAAATTGCCGATTGCTTAGACAAATCTTCATACAGCTTGTCCCTTTTATCCTGATTTTGGAATGACAGAAATAGGTATTCGCTTTTACCGCCAACCTGTCGTATCCACTTAATCTCGAGACCCTGTGAACAGATCACTGATGTAGTCTTCTGCTAGACGTTATTTTACTACTTTTTTTATTACTGCATATTATTTTACTTAGAGCACTAATATAAATCAATTATACAAAATCCTACCACTTGCCGTAATATGAACCTTCTTTTTATAATACTTCGTATATCTTTCAGTTGGATCTTGAGAACGGGGTGCTGGAAATCAAGCGATGAATAATTAAATCCGAACTGGTAAATAATAAAAATTCTGATCAGTGTTTGTGTGATGCGATGCGATGATTACCTGGTCGGTGTTATTGTAAGGCTGAAAATAAATTCTGGCTGTAGTCAATAATACTCTTCCAGGATTGATTACAAGCGGTAACACTTGGTTTGCTTGCGTTTCCAGGACTACTTGCTCGTATAAATCTTCGAGCCACGACATGTCAAAGGATACACCCGATTGCCTGGAGTGCACAATAGCCATAATCTTTAAAAGCAAAGATATCATTGAGGTAACTTTGGTAGTTTACAATTAATACAATATTAATTCAATAATGCAACAGATTATTACCATAGCATTTTGTTCTGCATTTGCTAAACTTGCTGCTCTATGCAGCTGCAAAATTTGTGGAAGGCAATCTTCTATTTTCGTGTAATTAAAACAAAAGTGGAACACACTATACTGATGTACAAATCTGTACGGTGCTAATATATTTTTCTCCAACATTTCCACATATTGTTTGCACTCCACAGACAGTATATCACTGAAACAAATTCAAGCAGGTAAATAAATAACCATAGTAGTGAAGACCAAAGTATAAAAAGATTCTGATTAAAACATAACTATTGCATTTTATAAGCTTGTTTTATTAAGTTCTAATAATATTGATACACACTTACCCTACTTCTTTAGTAAATACATACTGCTCAATAGATACGGTTTCTTTAAATTGAATCTTGATTAGCGGCTGATTTATATCTTTATTTGCAAAAACCAGAGATTTCGAGCACAATTTCAGTCTTCCATCTATCCATTTTTTATTCTCCTCAGATAAAGCATCTGGTCTTCTCATCTGGACGCTATAATCCTCAAAAAATATTTCTCCCGGTTCAGAAAGAAGCATTGTAAATCTATGAAAATACAATTCATAACACCTTATAATAATATTGCAATCATCAATTAATAAAATTATCAAAAGGAATGCTTTATATTAATTTGTATAAATTTTCCTTTGATAACGTCAATCATGTTCTAACCTACAAAACGCTCTTCATGTTGACTCTTGCTACAATAAAATCCTCAAGATTTTTCTATTAAATTCAATTCTTACAAAACGTAGAAAAATATAAATTTTATATATCTCAAATCAACAGAGAGGAAGCATTCATTGTGATAGTTTGATTTATAAATTTAACACATACCTTTCCTTCGCCATCGTTGTGTGTGTATAAATAAATAATTCATATATCAAATTCTACAATAAATACACCAAACAATTAGCAAGGATGATAAACAATGCACATATGTACATATATCACGTCGGAATCAAATCTCTGTGAAAGACCATTATTGCGATGTATAAAGGCGTAAATTCATGGAACACTGAACCAGCGTCGAGCGTAGTCACGTGACAAACTAACGTCAAAGTAAGGAAGTTAAATCACATCTAACTTTAACGTCACGCATCGATGAAGTAATATTAAAAGACCATCGGCCTTATGAAATTTGGCATGTAAGAAAATTTCGCTGTTCAATAACCTCCAGTCGATAAATTTGTTCGATGAACTTTACAACGTCAAGCTTTTAAAATTCCAAAAAATTTTAATACGATTTAAATATTATTATCAAGTTTTTAATAATTAATGTTACTTGCAACTATCTTTGTCATTATCAATGATATAGTATTTTAAATAATCGTTACTAGTGAATAAAGGAGATTCCATGTAAGGACAAAGTAGGCTTTTAATATCTTTTCTTTTTTTAGCAATGTTCTAATAATTTTATTACTTGTCACAATAAAGATTTATCTTTAGGCATTCTGCGCCTCTCTCCAAGAATTCCTTTTTATATAATATTTTTTTCGCATTTTCAATACAAAAAAGTATAATTGTACACATATCAGACCTAACGTTTCTTTTTTCTTTTCAATGAGATATAAATAATATTAACACCAAGGTTTTAATATAATTTGTGTAACATATCGCGATGTAATGATATGCAATGTTATGTTCTGCTTTTCTTCGCGAGGTGACAATTTTGAAAAAATACATACGTCAGTCTTCATGTAGAGCCATCTTTTGGCTGCTACCGAGACTCAATCAAAATGTCTCTAGACTCGTGGTGGTCAATTTGTCATCACGAACAAAATCCTACCATGTTGGTATCAATTCTCACCCGGTGGACAAAAAGCAGTAATGCGGATTCGCCTGGATATATGGCGCGTTCACACGAAATTTCTAATATACCACCATATCGGAGAATCTATCATCTAGTGAATCATTCATCTTTACAGATTTGAATTTGGTAACGGGTGTTTTGCAGCGAACATTGCTTTCTCTTGCAATATTAAAGCTTACATTGCTCTTTCAATGTGACTATATAAAAATGATTAATATCTATCTGATATCGAGTTGTTCGGAAAGATCTCTCAAATCCAGAGATGACTTCGTGAAGTTCGCACGAACTTCGTCCGTGAGTCGTGTGTATGTTACAATGCAACGTGCGACATAATGCCCGCGCAGATACGGCCAAACTTGAGACAATATTATTAGTTCGTGTGCTGAAGGTATTATTCAAATTACAAATATTGCCTGCACATGAGATAACATGGTAGCACGGTAGTGACAACGATGCTTCAACGACGTCGTTCGATATCGGTTGATACAAAAACAAATGGGTATTCAGTACAGCAACGCAAGCGATTTCTTGTCTAGCGTATCTTTCTTCACCGTTTTAAAAATGACCATTCGACACAGTTAAGCCTCGCTGTTCTCCGTGTCGGGTACTTCTAAAATTCTCGGCCCGTACAGAAGCACGTACGCGCAATGCCAATCGCCACCTCCGCTCAGCTTCAAAACCTCCTCGCTGGTGACTGCGGTAACAACGTCGTCGTCGCATTTCATCCACGTGTCACCCTTTTGCCGGACCCAGGCGACGTAATGACCGCTGCTGCTGGAACGTCCCCTGTGCGTCAAAACTGCTTGTAACTTGTAGTAACCGCTATTGTTTGAGCCCAGATCTGCAATCGCGAGTAAATATGCGTATTTCAGTTAAATGTTAAATCTGTGAAACGCAGACAACCGTCGAATCACATTCTTCGTCTCGTTACCGTTCTTAAACCAGAATGGCTCCTGCTTCATTTTCTTCGAGCTGTCTTCCTTATCCTTCTTGTCTTTCGCATTACAAGACTCCTCCATCATGGAATCTTCATGTTCCTTGAATTTCTCGCGCATCGGAGTAAGCTTGCCTTGAAGCTCGGGACTACACAATTCAAAAGCGTCGAATTCCAAGGGGAATTTCACATCCTTCAAAATTTTCGCATTAATCGCTTCCTTTTCCTTGTAGTAAAATCGTACGAATTGTATGGTTAAATACGCTGGTAGCCTGCTAATTTTTGACTGAAAAAAATACATCAATTATTCTCTATCTCGATAGAAATGACAAAAATTCTTCAAAATATTAAATTCACGTGATAAATTTCATTTTTTAAGCAGTTATATATATATATATATATGATGAATTATATATATATATATATATATAAACAAATATAAATGTATAAAATTGCTGAGGATTATAATGTACATGCAATTTAAGAAACTTACTGTTTTTGTATAAACGGCGTTTCTTCCAAGCGTCGGGGACATTTTCGTGATTTGCTCTTGCATTTTATTTCTAAGTCCAAAGTACATATGCTTGACATCGGTTGAAATAAAACAACTCAGCTGCAAGAATTCCTCTTTCCCAGTAGTCGCTGGCTCATCTTCAGATTCGGTGCATTTCAATTCGAAATCAAATATGCCACCAAAGTATTGTTCAATGAACGATTGTACTTTGGATGCTTCAGTATCGTTTTCGGATACATCTGGATTACACTGTTGCACAAATAACATACTTTCAGTAATAATTTCGCATTAATTGCTTTAAGTAAATGCATGCAGAATTAATTAATGATTTAAAAAGAAAACTTTTGACGAATATCTAGTAACCTTTGCAGGCAATTTCTGCTGTAACATCCTGATCAACTCCGTCCAACATTCATTAGCATCCTGCTGCTGAAACACGCCTTGCTCGGTCTTCTCCGCGAATCTCGGGAAGGCTAAATGCAACATTTGAACCAGAACGAGAGGAGCTCTGGACGTTCCCCTGTCCATATTGTCATACAAATCCCTTAATGCTGCGGTTATGCTTTGCGCAGGTAATGACATAGTAGCAGCTGCCGCCCAGCCACCTGGGAAAAGCTTTAGAGATTCCCGCAATTCGGGTACAGTCTTTAAACATTGTACAGTCGCGTTCAGATAGCACGTGTTTCCCAGATTGAGTAAACCAGCTGGCAAATCCAAAGCTGTGGCCAATTCAGTTTCATTCATGTCCTCTAAGAACAGCGGCTTTTCCGTTGGTTCTGTAGGTACATCCTCTTCTTTGGAACCCATCATAAGTACCGTGACACCCTGATTCGACAAATAATTATAGATTCTTGCTAGTTTCCTACGAGATACGAGAACAAGGCTCGAGAAAGGCAGGATAAGTTAATATAATTACATCTTTCAGTTTTAAGTTGCCCCAATCGTCGTCCTTCAATGTCATTCCTTTCAGCATAACTTTTTGTCTCTCGGGTTGAACCCCGGTCAAGGCAAAGAGCTGTGCCTTGAACAACATCGGTTCTTCCTCGGTATTCACCTCTACATTAGAAAAGAGTTCCTTGCCCCATTTTACTTTAACTGAAACACACGAGTGAATGAATGATGAAACACCAATAAATTGTCCATAGTATCGAACAAAGTAATCTAAAGTGTCTAGGTTAGATTTAGATTGCTTAGGCCAAGCGTAGACACGCGTGTGACTCGATTTATGTTTCCTGGAGTAATTCTAAAATAAAGAAAAAATCACCACCTTTCTTTGACAAGCGGGCGTCTCATATTGTGCTACAGAATCCTTTTTTTCCTACTTTACACATTTCGTCTACATTTTTTTTCTTGCTCATTGTAAAAATTGATAGTACACTTTTAGGTTAGATATCACAATGATCGAATACATACCTATAAACTGAGGCATGTTTATCCCTCCGTGCGTGGCTGCAGTATACGAATACGCCGCACCAGCAATATCGGATTTACGCGGGGTCTTTCTCTGTAATAACAATTATAAGTAACCGCAAAGTGCCAAGTCAGGTTCGCGCGGCACTTCTTGTGTATCATGTGTGTGCGTCGCTACGAAGAATTTACCACAACGACAGACAGATGGCCAGCTGATGTGGATGCTGTATATACAGCGAACTCTCGCCAGTCTTCTTACGAACTTAAGCGTCGGATGATTCAAATACAATAATTGCGCGCAAAAAGAGTATCCTTCGCAAGATTGGGATTTATGAAACTTTTATTTCCTGTCACATACATATTTCGGCATCACTAAGAGATATATTTCCGCTAAAACTTTTTTTTGTAAATTAGGACCAGCCTAATGTAACATCATTAATACCATCGCACTAACGTGCAGTCACATCGCTTAGTTACTTGATTACGTTTCGTGCACGACTCGGCATACTTGCTATTGAATGAGCGACGATTTCAATTCGATATATCGTACGTGTACTCGATACAATAGCATTATGGGTAAATAAATAAGGAAAGTAGCCGGGAGAAGGCAAAGTCTAAATAAATAAATATAAAATATACAATGAGAGACTCGAGACTGCGCTGCATAGCGAGAGAGATGTACATCTCGAGATGTCTCAAGTGAACAGCAAAGCTTAAGCCCAAACTCGTAAAGTCGAGTCCCAACTGCCGGTGGAGAGAGCAGTGCCGTCCGGCGAAACTCTCAGGCACGAGACCCGATTTTCATGACCGTACAACAATGCCACTCGCTGGCACTTGAGAGTGTCCCACACGTTCACCGTGTAATCGTTGTAGCCGGCAAAGAGCAAACGTCCGCTTACACTGAGATCAACTGCGTTCGCTCCGAATATTATACTTTCTTTCGCGTACACCGCAACTTCTCTATCGGCACGTAGGTCGAACAGGCGACAGGTGGCATCGTCCGATCCTGTCGCTACCGCGTCCCCTCCCGGATGAAATCTCACCTGTGTCACAAATACAGCAATAACATAGTAAGCGCCTTGCACCTCAGGAAACAGTTACAAATGAAATGAATTAAGGCTCGTGGGTAGTCGCTGCAACTGTCCTTGTTTGATGACGTCAGAAGCGAGAAAACGCGTGTCAAGAATTCTTGCGTTTTACGGTTCAAATAAAAAGACATACCCGCAAAATGACGTTTGTGATCGGTTCAGTACACTTGTAAAATTGTCCGTGTATTTTTTCTTTTATTCGAATAAGCAATAAACAGCCGCAAAATTAATTTGACACGGAACCATTCATTTTAACCTCTTTTCTCATGATTTTGTCAATGTTAATTTTACGATTATTTATTGCTTATTCGAATAAAAGAAAAATGCACAATTTTACAAGTGTACTGAATCGATCACAAATGTCATTTTGTGAGTATATCTTTTTATTTGAACGTAAAACGCAAGAATTCTTGACATGCGTTTTCTCGCTTCTGATCAAACAAGGACAGTCGCAGCGACCACCCAGAAGCCTTAATAATACGACGATCAACTTCTGTCTTAATGTCAGAAGAAAATACAAAGATGACATATGATCTGTTCTGTATAGCTGAACAGGCTACACCAATTCAAGAAATTTACAACATTGAAGCGTATGGAAGCGTACATGCAAGATTCTCACGCTTTAACTTATGTGAATTTGTTTGAAACCAGTGCGGCTAATTCGGCTGAACAGATCAATAATTCAGTCGTTACATACTGAATTAACATCGGACTGGTGTCCCTCAAAACTTTGCACGCATTGACCGCTGCGCATATCCCAGATCAAAACCATCTTATCGCAGCCACCCGACACGAACGTGTTTCCGGTTTCGCTAGGTGCTAAATCAATAGACATGACGTCGCTGGAATGTCCTTGGAAGCTTTGCAATAACTGCCCGCTCTCCACATCCCACAATCCGCACGTGCTGTCCCCGCTACCGGTTAAAATCTGCTGATCGCTATTGGGAAACGCGCAGCAGGACATGTACGACGTATGCGTGCCGACGGTTTTCTTATGAGCTGACACGTCGTCCTCTAAACTCAATGGATATACCGTAACTTTGTTGTCCAATCCACTGCAACATTACGAAGCAATAAATATGAGAATACTGGCTTATGGTAGATTTAATATTTCTCTTTATATAATAAGTATTTTTTATATAATGAGTATACATACCCGCATGCTACTAAGGTACCACTAGGACCATAAGCACACGCCATCACCCATCTGGTCGGCATACTGACAGCATGTTCCTTGTTTGTTGTGAAGGCATCCCATATAATCATTCTTCCATCCTAAACATGAGATGCAGTTGATGAGATTAGTTACTACGCAAGATAAATTAGTGCAAAAGAAGAAATCGTTGAATTTACTTGTGAGGAAGAGACAATATGACGCTTGTCGGGAGACCAATCGGAACAAAGAACTTTAGCTTGATGTCCTTTCAGGATACGTCTAGGCTTTACATTTATACAATTAATTATTTCAAGTCTATCGGCTACACTGGCAACTGAAACAAATTATGAAATATTACTTTTCACAAGCATTTACAATAGTGCTCTTTTAAATTCGAAATTATCACTATTTACTGTTCAGATAAATCTTGAAAATATATTAATAATAGCAACTTAACGTTGCTGTTAACAACATATCCTTATATAAATCTAAAAGGAAAGAAATATTCATATCTCTATAAAGGATAATAAGTATATTTTCAATGAAAGATTAAGAAATTTATAATACTGATAAGAAACTTGCAACATTAGCTAGTAAAATTCTTACGTGTGATATCGTTCAACTTCTGTCGTTCATCCTCCAAACGTATCTTCAAGCATTCCGCTTCCTTCGCTAACTTCTCTATATGTTCCAGCTCTGTAGCAGAGTCCATTCTGTTTTACTTTCCGAACACTGGACAATCTTTTGATACTCGACAGGCAGATTTCACGAACAAATGGTCCTCCATATATTGAAATTACACATCAGAATCATATGTACGTATATATGCAATATGCAGAAATTCTACAACAATAATATGTATACAATGTATCTACAAAAATGGCTTCATTACAAATGATTCATCTGTCCATCACAATCGAAGAGCGTTGAGCTGTTGTATCAGAACCATAAACAGCTCGCTGTAGGGGTGAAGTTTCATCCCTCACGAGCGAAACGAGAATAGATAATCGTGATTATGATTAAATGCTGGTAACAACACCACTTTACGCCTTTATGTGTCCTCCATATGTAATCCTCGTTCCTATTAATCGTTTATTTTCGAGTAAAAACGGCCTGTTACATGCGGTAACAACGAAGATAATCGATACGACGAATTGCCGAGACGAAATAACCAATCTCGGCGCCGGTGCAATGACACCTGTGCATTTCGCGCTCCACCCGATCACTAACCAACCGTTCCGACAGAACGCACGAACGGCAAGGGGAGGATGATGTTAAATGTCGATATATCCGTATGTTCGTTACCTATTAATTAAAATAACAGGTGTTACGTCGTGTGCGCGATCAGTTCGGGGGATGTATGCATATAAATATATAACGCGCGTCGAAGATCAAATTGGAAATATGAATAGGGAAGATACTTGTTACGTTCGCGATCGTGGGGAGAGAAATGCGGGATATTTTGTATTATAAAAATCGAGATACGCGTGACAGTCGCGATATATTAATATCATATTTCTCCTATTAATATCAGCTTACACATTTTTCGTCTGTCAATATGCGAATGCCCGATATACGCGTATTCGAATTTGCCGCTCCGCGCATGAGCAGAGACAGTAAGTCTATTTCTTTTTTTCGGGATGTTTGTCCTGCGACATCGCAAGATCCGTGAACGGTTACGAGTATCGAGGCGTGCGTAAAAAATAGTGATTTTCGCGTCTCGATGTATAGTAGTTGAACCGGCGATAAAGTAATATCGAATAAAACGTGATTGAAACGTCTCGCGTGCCGCTGGGTTCGAGGTTACGCGAGCGAATCGATGTCCGTCGAGCTTCCTGCGCATGAGTGACAGCGCGGCAAGGAGGGGAGCAGGAGGGGCAGCGGAGTGGACGTTCTTCTGCTCTTCTCACTGGTCCCAGCCTCGAGTGAACCGACCTTCCCTTGAATCGTGAATTCGTCGGTCCGGTCGGCGGACTATTAACGCTCTGAAAATGGCGCTTTTGTCTTTGCGTTTGGCCTCGTCCTTAGTCAAGCACCTGCCGAACACCACGGCCCAGGTAACGAATCAGATCCCTTTCACAGATTCTCTTTGCAAGACACTCCGTGAGACACCACATACTGGTGATACGTGCCGACATTTTTTACTTTGCCAGTACCGCAAACCGTTTCCCCGTTCCATCCGCTTATACCGTTTTCACGCGCAAAGTCGGACCGTAGGTACGACGGGTGTATCTTTTACTCGTAAGTCGACAAATTAGTGGGAAAATATGTGAATCGTTCGACTTACCAACATTTATACGGTGTATTACATAAAGTATGCGTTAGCCAGCGAGTTATGTAATAAGTTTCGGCGAAAACATTCGCGCGATAGTTATTACATACATATATATTTCTACACTGCAGGTTAGCTGGCCCGCAAGTGTCGTAGTTTCTCGCAAGTATCATGTCTCCTGCAGCCGTCGCTCCGCAGAAATTTCCGCCATTCTGGAAGAACGCATCCTTGGGTCAGCGCCAAAGGTGAGCCAACCCTTACCTTGTTTCACTCACCATGGATCGGCGTACCACTTGACATTTGATTAAGCAACATCAAATATTACAATATGAATTTTTATAAATTTTTTTTATGTCTGTACAATCCTGTACTTTTGTGAGTTTCTGATACTTGAGAGAAAGGATTGTTTCTTTCAAATTACAGGCTAATCTTGAAGAAACTGGCAGAGTACTCAGCATCGGAGATGGTATCGCGCGTGTGTACGGGCTTAAAAACATTCAGGCCGACGAGATGGTGGAATTCAGCTCGGGTCTGAAGGGTATGGCATTGAACTTGGAACCTGACAATGTTGGTGTTGTCGTATTTGGTAATGACAGGCACATCAAGGAAGGTGACATTGTCAAGCGTACCGGTGCTATTGTCGACGTTCCTGTTGGTGAAGGGTTGTTGGGTCGTGTCGTTGATGCCTTGGGTAATCCTATCGACGGCAAGGGTCCTCTGAACAATAAATTGAGATTCCGTATTGGAACCAAAGCTCCAGGCATCATCCCCAGGTAAATTTATCGACAACGATCATTCACAATCCTTTCCCAGTCTTTGTAAGTGGCATCTGTGTTGTTACACAATTCTGTCTTCTGACAGAGTATCTGTTCGAGAGCCTATGCAAACTGGAATTAAAGCTGTAGATTCCCTGGTGCCTATTGGCCGTGGTCAGCGTGAGTTAATCATCGGAGACAGGCAGACTGGAAAAACTGCTCTTGCTATTGATACCATCATCAACCAGAAACGTTTCAATGATGCCGGAGAAGAGAAGAAGAAGTTGTACTGCATTTACGTCGCTATCGGCCAGAAGAGATCTACTGTCGCGCAAATCGTGAAACGTTTGACGGACAGTGGTGCTATTAATTACACCATCATTGTATCCGCCACTGCCTCCGACGCAGCTCCACTTCAGTACTTGGCTCCATACTCCGGATGTGCCATGGGAGAATTCTTCAGGTGGATACCTCAAATTACCAATATGTTTGCTGTACCCGTCATACAGAAATTCTTTTTACATCAATGATTACGAGAAGGAATCTTTTGAGATTTTAACAACTAAATATGATCGAATAGATCCCATTGTATATTTTTAATAGAGATATTAGCAATTATGTTAATTTTATCCAGAGCGAATTGTTGACTCTGTGTTAACGTCTCATAAGAAATATCATCTTTACAGGGACAACGGAAAGCACGCTTTAATCATTTACGACGATTTATCGAAACAAGCCGTCGCCTATCGGCAGATGTCTTTGCTACTTAGAAGACCACCAGGTCGTGAGGCCTACCCTGGTGACGTATTTTACCTCCACTCTCGTCTGCTCGAGAGAGCGGCCAAGATGAATGAAAATTTGGGAGGTGGGTCTCTGACGGCTTTGCCGGTCATCGAAACGCAAGCCGGTGATGTGTCCGCTTACATCCCCACCAATGTCATTTCCATCACCGATGGACAAATCTTCTTAGAGACCGAATTGTTCTACAAGGGTATCCGACCCGCCATTAACGTAGGTTTATCTGTATCCCGTGTCGGATCTGCTGCTCAAACCAAAGCCATGAAACAGGTACGAGCGTATGCAAAATTACCTCGTCTCTACCTAAAAGTTTATAATGAAAAATTTACGGTGTGATATTGACAAATTTTAATTCTCTGTACACAGGTTGCTGGCTCCATGAAACTGGAATTGGCTCAATATCGTGAAGTAGCGGCCTTCGCTCAGTTCGGCTCGGACTTGGATGCCGCGACGCAACAACTGTTGAATCGTGGTGTGAGATTGACGGAACTTCTCAAACAAGGACAATACGGTAAGGCTGGCGCAGTCTTCTTGGTATAATTCCAAATAACCAGGAAATTGATTTATATATTTTCCTCTGTGTTTCTATTTTGCAGTGCCCATGGCTATCGAGGAGCAAGTAGCTGTCATATACTGCGGTGTACGTGGTTATCTTGATAAAATGGACCCCGCGAAGATCACAGGCTTTGAGAAAGAATTCCTCGCGCACATCAGGTATCTGATACACATGCACACATTAAGGCGTATGCACAATGAAAACCACAGACAACAAGAGCGGAGAGTAACGCAGGCAATAGATTTTCAACCTATTGGAAACCATATATCATATGCGTAGCATTGATTCACGGTTTCCGATAGGTTGAAAATCTATTGCCTATGTTATTCTCTGCTTCTGTTGCCTGTGCTCTTCATTGTATATAGGTCTTTACAGTTACACGACATATATTAAAGTGACACGTGTATTTTTATATGTATGTACTATTTATCTTTCAGGTCTAGCCAACAAGAACTCCTTGCCACTATTGCGAAAGAGAACGTGATCAGTGAAGCATCAGACGCAAAAATGAAGAAAATAGTTACCGATTTTCTCTCGTCATATTCGGGATAAAGTGCGATCATTTATAATATCATTGAATGTGAGTCAAGATAGATTAATTGAACAGAACATACGATGTTCTTGAAGATTCGACTGCTGCTGACAGGCGTTAGTGTACCGGTATTGCACATTGTTGTATATCGTCAAGAATTATAATGTAATTATGTATAATATCTGTACATTATAAGTGTTTTCGCAGCAATTCCATGTACGATCTATAAACTCGATAGCTACATTACACCATGTTGATACAGAAAGATCGACCTTTAATAAAACTAAAAAATACTAACGTTTCGAATGCGAGTACGTTTTCTTCCCGATGTAAAACGTAATAATAATTCTTGAGACAAGTGTCTCAAAGTGGAAATACACAATTTTTTCCAAGTTGATGTTATTAACTAATCTTTAAACCCTCGAAATATATTTCGACATCTATGTGAAGGATGAATTTCAAAATGCAATGTCTATGATAATCACAGAACGATAATTTCCAATGTTTACTCAGGAAAAATTATTGAAGAAATTATGTGTAGTTGAGGAGATATCAAAGAGATACATTAGTATTGAGACCATAATAAACTAACATTGTTTTTGGTTAAAGAGAATTAAACATATATTATTTTTAACTTACTAATATATAATTATATGTATATATATATATATATATATATATAGTGTGTGTGTACATTCTAAGTAATTGTGAATATTATATCGTACATTTTTTTTATGTTAATCTTTTACAATCTTATTCACAAAAACCCTTCAGCACATGAGGATTATTTACACATGACAGGTATATATTGCAAAATACCAATGTGATAAAAATTGACAGGACAACTGTTATGTTTTCTTAAGTTTTGTTCAACAACTCAACACATAAAGCAATAATTATATATATATGTATATAATTTAACTGAGGAACCTTATGGACATCTTCTGCTCCACATCAGTGCGCTCCAGAGCTTTACAAAATTCCTCAAATGATATCATGCCATCACCATTCTCATCAGCCTCAACTATAGTCCGTTCTGCTATGCTAGTTAATTGTTCTTCACTGCAATATGGTAAGATTTATGTCAAGTATCTTGTTCGCATAGTATAAATAGTACTCTCATAAGATATATACAGTATAATAATTTCATTATGACTATAGAAAAAAAAATCATCATACAATTTTAGTCATATTAGCTGTAGCAGAGAAACATTTTTTACCTAATGTTGGCGCCAACCATCATATGTAAAATAGCGAGCAATTCATCTTTTGATATTAGGTCGTCATTATCCAAGTCATACATTTTAAATGCAACTGTAAGAAAAAAGAATATTTTATAGTTAATATTTAATATTTAAAATTAACAAGCAAATATGAAGAATGTTCAATTTACTTTATATTTCAATACTTAAGTTATGCGTTATTTTATCATATTGTGACACTTACACTTTAGTTTTTGTTGCCTCGAGTTCAAGCGGTTGGGGCTATTCTTCTTGATGGGTCTGAAGTGAGCCAGGACTTGCATGAACTGCAAGAAATTGACTCGATCGTTCCCGCTTTCCTCGAAGAAGGCATTTACTATCCTCTCACCGAGAGGATTTATCGCCAATTCCGGGATTCTCAGAAAATCCTCTCGACTGAGTGTCCCACAGTCTCCGCGATCCAGACTCGTGAAGCGGCTATATAGTCGTTCTATCTGATTCGGTGTAACTATAATAACAATAATCCGAGAAAATAACATTAAACTTTCTTTGTTGGAAATAGCTCGCGCTCGCACGGGCCGTCGCCGCGAAGCATAAAGATTACACGATTATAACGGATGCACAATATGGATACTCACAACCAGTAGCGTCCTGAATCTGGGCTATCTCTTCTTCGCGCAAAAGAAGACTCGATCTGTTACCCATCTCGGAGGTAATCGAGTTTCAGGCTCGTACTGATGCTGCGGAGTACCAAGATGTTTGCATAGTAGCTCGAACGAGCGAGCCGAAACGTAGTTGTGGTGTGAACACACGTCGCTAAGTCATATGACCTGCCTGTCTCTGACAGACTTTGGACGTTGGATCAATTGGAAATACTCGTTAATTGGAAACTCATTGTGAGATCCCGCATTCAGAAAACCGTAACAACCCACGACCATAGAACGCGGACAAACGTAGAAGCGAAGTCCTCTGGTTCTCTGAGCTATTTTCAATTCATGATTTCTGCACAAGGTGGTAGGCCCCAACGTATGATTTATGTGATCCCTTATTGAGGTTACCTTCCGAACGAACATAATCAAAGGAAACACTTGCTTCAGAAGCGTTTACCTATTTCCGGAAACTTTATTTCATCGAAGTCTGAATTGACATTTTTTCAAAGTAAAGTTCTCGGAAATGGACCGAACTCGAACCTTTGCGCCATCTGCGCGCCATTGAAGCCCTTTTTTGATGCACATGCGCACGTCAAACTAGGTCTATCTAGTAACATTGATAAAATCGTATATTTAGGTTGTTATTCATGCTGGGAAACGAATACGCTTTAACAAGATGGCTCTGTTGTAATACGGCGAACGATTTTGCAAAATATACAAACAGTAGTCGTGATCGATAAGGATTTTTGCGCTGGTCGAAATTTGAAAAGGCTATTTGAGGTAAGTCTTAACAGTAATATGTATTTATTTCATCAATTCGACGTGTATTTACAACTTCACTCATTGTAGACATTGGTTCAACGCAGCTGTTATAATTCGATGCATCTCGTAGTATTGTCAAAGAATTTTCTTTTTAATACATTATTAAATGACATTTTTAGATAAAGTATTGCTCTCGCTGGATTTGTTTAAATTTAAGTTTACAAAATTTGTTGGACTCACTCAAAGATTTGTCGCACGGTTATTTCATATGCTCCGAACCATTGAACTTTAAAAAACTCCGTTATGAGGTTAAATTCCCACTATCACAATAACTGACATTGTTAAAGGCAAACAAGAAGTTATTCCAGTTAACCATCTGTGCAGCATAAATGTGTGAATCCAATTTAATATATTCGTTAATCACAGACACACACATTGAATTGTTTCATACTGCTTTAATGAATAAAATGTCAGATAGTCAGTTCATGTCGCTCTTTTAACAATTCTTCAAACTACAAGTGGAAATAACTCCGGATTCATCATAACTTGTGCAAAAGACATGGGTTTTGTAAATTTTAGTCAGAGTGATGAGAAGAATGTTTCTGGATGTTTTATTGGAACAATGATTTTAAACAGATTTTATATTGCAAGATTAGGATGAGCGCTAGACTGCTGAAAGACCCAGCCACAGCCTCCAGTCGTGTTTTTGTGGGTCATTTACAAAGCGATGATGTAACAAAATTGGAATTAGAGGAACATTTCTCTAAATATGGCACCGTTATAGCATCCTTGATAAATAGAGGCTTTGGATTTGTCCAGTTTGAAGATGAACACTCCGCTCAGAAGGCTATTCAAAACGAAGATGGTGCAATGTTCAAAGGCAGACGTATAGGTACAGAAATATGGTTGTCTTCTTAATATAGAGATATCTTTACAAACTTTTGTTAAACTATATTTGTTAAACTATAAATTAAGTTTAATTAAAATTAATTTATCATCATTTAGATCGACATATATGCATAGATCTTATGTTTCTTCTAAAATTTTAGATGTCAGACCTGCAAAGAAAGATAATCAATCCGGAAATGCGGCAAATGCTAATGCAAAGCAATTCAATTTTATGAACAAGCCATTTAAAAAGGATCCTTTTATCCCAAATAAACCAAATTTCATTGGAGGGAACACGAGTTTTAACTCCAATCAGAACTTTGGGAGTGATAATACATTTGGTAACAACCAGAAAGATTTCAATTTTGATAACAGAAGTGGCGAAAGTATTCACTTTGATGATGGGAATCAGGCTAGAGATGATGAAAATGACCAGTTTAATGGAAAACACAGTAATAATAACAGTGGAAACGACCACTTCAGCAATCTTCAAAATCGAGGAAACAATCAATTCAATTTAGCTAATCGCGGGCCCGATCAGTTTGGAAACCAAAACAGAGGGAATAGTAATCAATTCGGGAATAATCAGAACCGACCTGGGTCAAATCGAAATCCAATTAATCAGGGAAATAACCAAAACATTGGTCCAGGAGGTACCGGAGGAGGTGCCTTCAAAACACACATAAGAGGCATAAGAGGTGGAAAGAATAAAAGCAAAAATAATCACAGCAACACGAACGTGAACAGTTTCAGAGATCGGAGCCCGATCAATAGAGGCAGTCGAATAGACGACAAGACTAATAGAGACTGGGATCTCAAGCAGGGAGATAGGCGCGGTAGTAATTTCGGCAGTTCGTTCAGCGATAACGGTAACCGTTACGACGATTTCAAAACTTCCGGAACTTCCAGAGACACGAACGCGAGTTTCGGGTAAGACGGTGATCGTTTTGGCGGCAATTAAAAATTCCGACACCCATGCCTTTCCCCTCCTCTGAATGTTATTTGATAACACGGTGCGAGTATTTTTGCGTATAGATGGCAGAAGAATTTCTCTCTCTCTCTTTCTCTCTTGCAGAAGCGGGAGCGCCTCGTCTGATTATCTCGCGGCCGAGAAGAACGACTGCGAAATTATCGTTGTCAACAAGGCGTTAACGTAAGACAATTTCTCTAATTGCGCGTAGTGAAATGCTCACGTGTTTTACATGACATTTCGTTCGTGTTGAAAACAGAGAATACGCGGAGGCCATCGAATCACGCCTGAAGAAGATCGGTTTATCGGTAGATCTGTTGTTCCCCAATGAAGATGTCTTCTTGAGTCGTGTGTTGGGAAACCTCGCGAGTCGTGGTTGCCTATACGCCGTGGTAGTCACACTCATCAATCAAGAGCACCATTCTCTGACACTGAACATCTTGCACGGCTTGCCGCAAGGTAGATTTACAATACGACACAGGTGTTGTTATTTCGTTCGTACGTTACCAAGCGATTGTGCCATGCATATAGACGCTAATAATCAACAAACTTACTATTGCGTTGCAGAACACAGGAACATGCCCCTTGAGGATGCCATAAACTTGATTTCGAGAGATTTCACGAATTATAAAGCCGGCGGACGTTCGGTGCCGCTGAACGCACCGTTAGCGAACGAACGTCATCCGGACGCCATACAAGTTCTCCTGAATATGCTGGCCGATAATCATCAGCTCACGGTTCTGCAGTACGATCGTGTCATAAAGTACCTCGATATGAAGCGGGAGGAGCAGGTGCAGGTGGAGCTGGGCGACGCGAAGGACCTGCCTGTGACGTCGCTCACAGTCAACGACCCGAAGCAAGCAGAGTTGCAGACAAGAATACTGAACATCTTGAACAGCAGTAAAACTAACACATCAGCGAACGATCCCACGCCAGTGCCAGCGCCAACCTCTGTACCGACTCCGGTGCCTTCAGCTAGCTGGGGAACAGGTAAACCATGGGATTGCGTTGATAAGATTGCAGGAGTACAAAGTACGCCTGTCGGTCCTCTCGATACTCAATGAAATGTAAACTGTAGAAAATCCGTCGAGTCGAGTGTTTAAACTGTAAACCTCATACGTGCATCGTGTTGTATCAGCAGCATCGAACACTGCCACTACGTCATCTACAACAACCACTTCCACCGGAGTCTCACCGTCGCCCCTACTAAACGATCCGACAGTTCAGAAAGCTCTCGACAGTCTGTTGCAAGGAAATCTGTTGAAAAACATCGGAGACCAGCAAGCACCCGCGACCACCGCCCCGCCACCGTTGTTCGCAGCTTTCTCCAATATCGGCAGATTTTAATCGCACCGCCGATTTTATTACATCGGGAACTTTTAACCTTTAGGATTTCTTTATATATATTTTTGATTTTTATTCGGTATGTGTAATATGCAATTACAAAAGAAAGAAAAAGAAAACTTATCGATAAGGAAAACGTCGAAGTTACATGCCGGACATAATGAATAATATTTTAGTACATTGTATATTACTCGTGTAAAATGATAAATTTAAGACGAAAAAATTCATTACTTTACTTCATAAAATACAGCAGTTGTGATTCGTGTCGATTAATGTTACTATCTACGTCATCGATAGTATTACATACATTTTTCTCCGCATAGAAACGATTCTACATTTAAACAGCTGAATATATTTTTATTTAGACATTGCACGTTATTTATTAGAAATACTTCATATAAACACAAACACGAATGCTTTACGTGGACAAATCTAATCATACAATATATATTCATACACACGTAAACACACATATACGCATATGTGTGAAAATATTTTGGTTTACAAAAGTGAAAGCCTGCTTTGTCGTTGAAACATTTTTATGTAAAAATCAGTTTTTATACAGTTTAGAGGGATAAGTGTTAGGATATAATATTACGTATGCGCAATATAATTAAGGACACGATCTTTTATTGTATTGAAGCTATATACTTTAATCGTCGTGTTTCTATACTGAATATTCTGATACCTTTCTCCCACCCGTAATAGTTGTTTTATTTTCTCATCGTAATATTAAAAATTATAGATGAGAACTTAGGCCACACGTATAAATCAATGTTGCATAAAGAAAATATATTTGTAAGTTCTTTCCAGTTATTAGGAACCGTACAAAAATCGATAGTGACTTGACTTAAATATATATATATATACATACATACACACATATATATATGTGTATATATATATATATATATATGAATATATATAAATAATAACTTTACAAATACATAGCTTCTCTTTGAAGTAAGAATTATTTTTTAACATACAATCCTTTTCTAATATTTAGCCTTTTCTATAGTATCTCTTTATTTACTATTTTTTATTACCTGATATTTTAAAATTTAATATTGGAAATTGTCTTATTTTCAGATTGCTCCTTTTTTCGTCGAAGTGAACTGAAACGATCACAAATATCGGAAACAAACCCACAAAGTACCAACCTGGAATTCAGATCGAATGTTTGGAAATGTTTTAACTAAATTGTCCTTTAAAACTATAATTGAAAATTGTCGCCTTTTTGTATATGATTCAAGAGCTGCGTTCCAAAAGCCTGTTCGGCAGATAGAATAACATTTAATTAACCAATAATTATATAGAAATCTTTGCTCTTTTTGCTCTGATTGGTTAATTCAATGCTATTTTATTCGACTTAAGTAAGATAACTTAAGTGTAACTTTCAACATGAAGAAATTCTGTACACGTTGGCGTTGCATAATAATCATCATTTTGTCATTTACAACTTTTTTATATATCATAAGTTTGAGTTATTACATGGCATTAATAATGATGATCCAAGTGATGATTGAAATGTTGGAAAATATATTAGGAGGTTGCATTAATTTATAGAGATATAAGAATAGAGGGAACAAGCCTGTAAGTGGAAGTGATAGAGGCAAAAAGAGAGATGGATGCCGAGTGTCCTATCTGTCTCTTTCTAGTCACGCGCTGGGATTGGCTGCCGCGCCAACGACGATATAGCTATACATTTTTCTCCATCCAATTCAAAGAAACTGTCATTGCTAAAATGATCACTACAAATATATGCTGTTTTCACTTCAAAATACAAAGGTAGTTGAAATATATTCAACCATTTACGCCTTATATCTACATCCTTCGGTAGCCTATAACATTTACATATTTTTTTAAATGTATGAAAAAATAACATAATTATTTCAGGTTACGTATTTGTACTTTCTTACGAGTGAAAACTACGGTTACATCCAGGATAAAACTCCGCCTTGCATTTCAAACAATGCCTCATTTTTAAACAAATCGCGTCCAATTATTATTTTGTTAACGTTCGAATATTTAACGAATTTTAATTCTACACACATGTGCAAGCATATTTACAAAACGAAATTTTAGTCTGCTTTCTCCCCTCCTGACGTTGCGTGGTCGTCTTGGCGGCTCATTGTAACAACCAATCACAGCGCTCAACTAGAAAGAGACAGATAGGACACTCGGCATCCATCTCTCTCTTTGCCTCTATCACTTCCACTTGCAGGCTTGTTCCCTCTATTCTTATATCTCTATGCATTAATTCGTGCCGCTGTCAATAGATAGCTCTGAATGTTGCTTTAGTTCATGCTGCCGTTCTTAGGTTTAGTGGTTATACGTGTCGTCATTTGTAAACAATAACCAGTCAACAAAGATCGTTTCTATGTACAGATAAAATGCGAAGCGAATATGAAACGCGATAATGAGTTCTTCCGACATATGCTTTTTCATACTTCGACTTAAAAACAAGTGCAGCTGAAGCTTACCAGTTGCTTCTGGACACTTATCGCGAAGCTGCTCCTTCGGAAAGAGCACGTAGAAAATTAATGCAACGTTTTAAAGGAGATGATATTAAAGTTCAAGACAAGAAACGTTCAGAGTAGCCGAGAAAATTTGATGACGAGGAACTACGGGAGTTGTTGGGTGAAAATCCGGCATAGACGCTCAAAGAATTGTCAGTAGCTCTCGGAGTCGACAAATTAACCGTTTCGAGGCGGCTACATAGGGGAAGTCCACGAAAAAGGAAAAGAGGTGCCTCGTCGATTATTAGAAAGCTCAAAATTGAATCGCTTGAATATTTGCATTTCCTTGCTTACTAAACATAGGAAGAAGAGTTTTTTGTGGCTGGGGACGAGAAATGGATCTACTACGAAGATCCGAAACTGAATGCACCCAAATGTAGATCGAATTAGTTTAGGGAATTCTTTATATCATCGGTTGGATGCATGATCCGTTTGGAAATCCGATCCGACTGTCGTAAACGTCCTTTGTGTAAACATTTGTAGGCGCTCGAATGCCAACAGGAATAATTGTAAATAGTGCCTATAAGAACGTTCATAGCACATGAGCGTTTAAAAGCCACTTTGAGGGTCATTTTGACTTATAAAATAAATACGTGCATCGTGCGTCAACTATACGGCATACATTTAATGTTTCTCTTTTAATTTTTTTTACTGACTACTCTGCTCGGAGTATAAAAATAATAAATAAATAAGGAAAATAAACATGCAGACCGATAGTACAAGTACAGATACACGTAAAAGAAATAACAAATATTTCACGAATCATCACAAGAAACGTAAATTATTTACTATAGAACCAGGTATGACAGGATTCTTATGCACATGCAACTTTAACGAGAAGGGCTGTATAACTGACGCCTACAAATTGCTTAATCAGTTTGCAGATGAGGATGCTATGTCGAAGAGAGTTGAGGTACTTTAATAGAAGTTAAAAAATATAAGTTTCAAAAATAGTCACAACAATGTTAGTTTCTAACATTTTTGTTATTTCAAGGAACCTAAAGTATCAGATGCATCAGATACGCTTGATAAAAAAGAAGATAAATCTTCCTCAGATTTTGATAAAGAAGAAGATATATCGACAGCTCTGGAGAAAGAAATCGATGAGCTTAGGACAAAGTCTGAAATACCGTTGTATTCTCGGAGATTTCAGGTTTGTTGCTATGTATAATTATTGTGCAGTTTTACTAACAAGAGTTTTCTCCATGAAAAATATATTGTATACTTATGTATCATTGTATATCTTATAGGTTGTAGACACAAATGTTAAAAATATGATTTTTATAAAGAGTACCTTACCAAAACCACTAGAATTGGTAACCAAAATTGTTACCGAGTTGGATGCAACTAAGAAACAATGCACAAGATACTTATTGAGACTACTTCCAATTGAAGTGGTATGCAAAGCATACATGGATGATATAAGAACAAAAGCTAACGTATTATTAGAAGAGTATTTTTCCCAAGAACCTAAGACATTTAGCATTGTGTTTAAGTAAGCACAAATAATATTTTAATTAAATACACAATAATCACCTTAAAAAAATCTAAATTGTTAATGTTTTAGCCGTCATAGTAATAATAGTATTAAAAGAAATGAAATTATTGAAGACTTGGCAGAAATAATTTCCAAGAAAAATCCAGGGAACAAAGCTGACTTGAAGAATCCAGAGATAGCTGTGGTCGTTGAAGTGATACGCGGACTTTGCTTACTCTCTATTGCTCCTAATTATTATAAATTTAAGAAGTACAATCTCATTGAAATATGCAATAGTACAAAAAATAAGGTAAAAGATATTATTGCATTTAAATCTTTGAAACTGTATAAAATACTTGATGTAAAAATGAGAATTTCATATTTTATAGAAAATATTATATATATATATATAAAACATAGATAAATCATTTTTTATGTTTACAAGGAATCAGAAATAAAAGGTGATGAATCAGAAATAAAAGATGATGAAACAGAAAAGGATGAAATAAAAAATCCTTAGGATATCTTGAAATATTCGAGAAAAAAATAACAATCGATAAACAAAGAGTTCTATGGAAAAAATCGAACGATTACGTCAAAAACGTAACGCAGGAAATAAAGAGGTCTACTGATGAAAATAAACATATTCATGCGTATTAAAATATATAAATTGAAGAAAAAATACAGTTTTGGGGCTTGAATTTGATTATATAATGTGTAAAACGCGTTTATTTTATGTTATGAAAATGTATAAATAAAAGCTAAGCTGATAAATAAAAGTTATAGATATTGAGATAACTCGTATATTCGCACTGAGACATTTCTATTAAAATTATCAACGGTATACAGTTATAATTATTAAAAGTTTAAGAAATTCTAGAACTTAACATTTGATAGAAAAATACAATTTAGAACGAAGTGATTAAATTTAAGATTTATACTGACTTAGAGTTTAGGATTTTTTAGTCAAAACTAATGATGAAAAATAAATAATATTTATTTATACATATTAACATTTCCACGTTTAACCCAAATAACAAGTGAGGTTTCTTGTCAAGGTCCCATGGTGTAATGGTTAGCACTCTGGACTCTGAATCCAGCGATCCGAGTTCAAATCTCGGTGGGACCTTCTTTTATGTAGTATATATTTTTTCATGCCAAAATACAAAACAGTTTTTACAGACTATTTTTTTTAAGAGTATAATGTCATTATATATATATTCTAATTGACAGACGTATTAGTATTGAAATTATGTTTTTGTGGGGAAAAGGGAAAGAGAATAATTTTATTCTGACGGGATATCGATTTTTTAGAAAGTAAATTAAAGTTCCTAGGAAGTATATAACAGTACTCATAAAGCGGGGGGTCTACAATGAAAATTTAAGCTCTAAGTCTTATAAAATTGACCAATCACAGTCGATTATTTTCCTCACATTCGATGGTGATTGGTTAGTTTCTTAAGGCTTAGAGCTTTAAGGCTTAAGCTAATTCTGAATTCTTATAGACTCTTCTTATAGACCCCGCTTTAAGCTGCTCACAATGAACATTCGTTATTTTTATAACGTATTTTCTATCGCTCACTTTGCTTATCTTGCGCTCCTTTTCTCTTTTCGCATGAATTCAATATCTCTGAAAGTTAGTAACTAATATAATTCTTGAGCTGTTGTTAATTTTTATCTTTTAATTGACTTAATTAAATTATCCTTTATTGCAAATAATTTAAAAATTATCTTAATTAACTTAATTAAAATATTAAGTAATTAAACACTATATATATATCTGTTCTCTATTATACTTTTAATCTTTATATTGCGCTTTTCTAATAATCATAATTTTTTAAATAATTTAATTATTATATAATCACTTAACGTATTTAGCAAATATGTATGCTGTAAGTACATGAAAAAGCGCTCTTTTAAATTTAACATTTGCTATGAATATCGGCCATAGTGCTTTATTGAATAACACATTTATCATATCTTGTTTGCGATATGAAATTTCCTTAAAGCCAGCAGCAGACAATACTTCTTTTCGTGTTGGATTGTTTGTTGGATATAAATATTGGATTTTGATTGACGTATTGTCATCCATTTTTGGAAATGCACCAATCAGAACGCAATATTTCTATTCAGCAAATAATCCAGTACGTAACAAGTATCGTATGCCGCTGGCTTTACACCACGTCTGTTCGTTTTCGCTGCACCGCTGAACTAGTGTATAAGTTGAAACGAGACAAGAGGTCTGTTCGTTTTCGCTGCACCGTCGAACTAGTGCAATAAGTTGAAGTGAGAAAACATATTCTTGTCTTTCTTCAACTTATTGCACCATTTCAGCGGTGCAGCGAAAACGAACAGACCTAAGTATATGTTTTCTCACTTTAATTTATTGCACTAGTTCAGTGATTCAGCGAAAACGAACAGACCTAAATTTAAATCGAGTCGATGTCATTCCCTAACCTTTTAACGGTAATAATGTTATTGTTATGGTTAGGATGATACATCACAAATAGTTATAATTGAGCGCAATGACTCTTAATAATAGTGAAATTGTTGTCAAAAATTACAGGATAAGTTCACTGGTGTATCTGTGAAAAGCGCAGTTGTAAATAATGCAGGATTCCAGCAAGAATACTCCAAAATCGGAACGCGTTCGAAGGTAGAAAAGTGTATTATTTTGATTACGAAATTTATATCTATATTTAATTTGATGTTTTTCTGTACAGAGTCCACAAAGCAGGCATGTCAGATATGACAAAGAAGACTCTATCAGATACTCTGTTACCCAACATCCGTACGATAACATCCAGAAATGAACCAAGATCTAACAGACGAACGATGATGTCAAATGATATACAAACACTAAGTGAGTTCTACGTAGAAATTCTACTTAAATTGTGTTAACTACTTTTCTTTAACTTGTTTCCTTAACCGATATAATGCTACATATACTTGTATTGTTTCGTACAGAACTGAAAAAAGGTATTACTGCAAGCAGGCAATCAATTATGCCATCACAGTCTTTATTAGATATACAAAAAAGTACAGATACAGAGAGTAAGGATTTAGAACTCTCACTGTTATACGATGAATACTTGCGATCTATGTTGACAAATCTCATAATAGAAAAGAAGACTGAGGAAAAGAAGCATTATATGATAACTCAATTAGCTACTATAACACAAGAGATTGACCAAGACATGAAGAAGCTGATAAAAATTAAGACAAGGGAACAGGATATAAAAAACTTGAGCTTAGAGCAAACAGAGACAGATGTACAACTGGCTGCGATAATAAAATGCACCAGTAAGACCTAAATCTGTTGATTTAATTTGAACTATGATACTAATTTATTTACATATATTTAATGATATATATATTTATATTTTTACAGAAAACGAAATGTTTAACATGTTAAAAGATAAGCTGTCCAAGTTGCAGTCTCTTCTAGAACCTTTAGATATATTGTGTTGTAATAATATAATCCTACCTGATTCGCCACTACAGTGGAAGGAGATTGAGGAAGTATTAAAAAAGTGTTCGAAAATCTTGGAGGACATCATAAACCTAATTGGATCCAAGGGCAACACGTATTGTACTGTTAATAATGAACTGAAGAACTTCTCAGAGACGTATAACGAAATAGAAGATATTCAAAAGAAGTACGATTCAAGACAACTTTTCTCTATATAGTCGTATTCTAAATTGTATATTTATAATGTATGTGGTAACATTACATGTGCTTTTTTCAGATTACTAGAAGCCTTGTGTAATTTACAAGTACGGATGCTAAAAAATGCTTCATTAATAATGCAGAGTGAAAGTCAACAAATACTTCCATAAAATTGCTGAATATTGTTAAAATTCCTCAAAAACTCGTTAAACTTAAAATAAACTATTTTATACTTTTGCATATAAATAACGTTATAAATCAATTATTTGTAATAAATATGGCCCTGACCAGGAATTATACCTGGAAACTTTTAAAATAATTGTAGAAAACATTTACATTACGTTATGTTTAGTCGCATATGTAAGAAAAACCGCTTCATTAATATGACGACTCGTTAATCTACTTCGTTTGTTGATAACTATATTGTTAAGAGCAGATATAACTCTTTCCGAGGTCACTAAAGATTTTATTATTATACATAAAGCGACTTCTGTTAATGCATACTCTATGCTCACGACATGTACAATACACGCGGCGAACTCTTCACCAACGCGTGGAGGGCTCTAGGAGCCTTCGTACGGCAGCGAACCGCCAAGTTCCTCTGCCCTTCCGGGCGGAGCCCATGGAGCTACGCTTCTGATAACCTTACGGTTATCCCCCATTGGCCCTTCCGGACCTGTTGGCGCATGCATGGCGCCGCGGGGAGAGCAAATCTGCCCCGTGGGGCTAAATCTTCTCTTAGAAACTGCGCTACGAGCGCCTGTGTGGACACTCCTTCACATCCACTCCTCGTGTAAACGAGACTTAAAGCCGAGCGCGTCGACTCGTCGCTCCGAGTCTAAAGCCAGCGGCACACGATGCTTGTTTTCGTGCTCGATTGTTTGCTGGATGGAAATACTGCATTTTGATTGGTGTATTGTCATCCATTTTTGGAAATGCACCAATCAGAACGCAGTATTTCCATCCAGTACGAAACAAGCATCGTGTGCCGCTCACTTTAAAGAAAACCAACCTCAAGTTCAGTAAACTTTGCTCTGAGTGGTCAAATTTCAATCCATCTCAATCCCTAATCCGTAGTGTGACACAGGCTTTACGCGTCATTGGATCCTTAGGCAAATTCGAATAATTTAGTCATAAATTTAAACAATTTGACATTAACGTGAAAATATTCGTTCATTTGTGGATAGTTAAAAAATATATATTCGATTTTCTATTCGTAAAATTTTATTTGATATTTTCATATCGAATACCTGAAAAATATCGAACAGTCGATAACATAGAATATCGATAATCATCTTTGCCGCGATTATCAATAATAAGAGCGGCCGAACGTGACGGTGCCGTTCTCGCAGACTTGCTCTGGCCGTCAAACAAAGACGTCATTGACAATTAGTGCGCCCACGAGGAAACGGGCACTCCGAGATGGCCGGTGCGATGTTGTTCGAGCGGGCCCAGGCGGTGTCGGTGACAGATCGCAGCGAAGGTATCTCCTTGCTCAACGAGATCGTATCGGACCCGAGCATCGGCGTCGCGGAAGACGATGAAGACAACATCCGCGTGAAGGAGCAGGGTATCCTGCACCTGGGCGAGCTCTACAAGAAGGAGGGCAAGGCGAAAGAGCTGGCCGAGCTCATCAAAGCCACCAGGCCGTTCCTCAGCCTCATCAGCAAAGCGAAAGCAGCCAAGCTCGTGCGTTCCTTGGTGGACTTCTTCCTAGATCTAGAAGCTGGCATTGGTATTGAGGTACTTGATGTTGTTTTCACACTTGTATCGTGCAAAGGGATGCAAGGCTATGGTATAGAAGATACAAAATTGATTAGATTATGCTAGATCAGTTAAGACTAATGATAAATATCAACTATGTTACGTTGATGTTTACAAGCAGTGATACATTGATTGCAAATGAGAAGAGAAACGTATAGTTGTCGGTCCTTTAAAGGTAAAATCATTACTTGGAACGTAATTTTTAGAATTACGAGAAAGATTGACAGCTTTAAAACTCGAGGCCTCTCTGGTTTTACGTAATCCACTGACACCTTTCCGTGTAGCTTACTCACACACGTTATCTGTCTTTAGGTGCAGTTGTGTAAAGAATGCATAGAATGGGCGAAGGAAGAGCGCAGAACGTTTTTAAGGCAATCATTAGAGGCCCGCTTAATAGCCCTTTACTTCGACACGGGTATGTTCAGCGAAGCCTTGCAGCTGGGCTCTGCTCTCCTGAAGGAGCTCAAGAAGCTCGACGACAAACAGCTATTAGTAGAGGTTCAATTGTTAGAGAGCAAAACATATCATGCTTTGAGCAATTTAGCAAAAGCTAGAGCCGCACTCACCAGTGCCAGGACAACTGCCAACGCGATCTACTGTCCGCCCAAGATGCAGGCGGCTCTGGATCTACAATCTGGGATATTGCATGCCGCGGACGAACGAGACTTCAAGACTGCTTACTCTTACTTCTACGAAGCCTTCGAAGGGTACGGTAGCCGACATGTGTGTGCGTGTGTGCATGTGTCCCATTTTATGATGGCACAGAGCAACACGTAAGTGCTCACATCTGTCGTGGATGTAAAGCAAGGTAGGGAAAATCGTAAACGGAAGTCGCGAAAGGCTATTGGCCTGTTCCACAACATGCTGTATGTCAGAGTCTGATGTCGGAATGCAGCTGATGATCCAATGGGAGAATCTCTTCCTCGAGAACGGACTCTCCTCATTGGACCATCGGCCGCGTTTCGACTCCGACATATGGCGTCTTGTAAAACAGGCCATTGTGTGGATGCGATTATTTTATATGTTTACGTTTACAATTTTTTTGTCTTTATGTCCATGACTACGACAGATGTAAATGCTCACGCCTTGTTCTCTGCCATCAGCTTTAAGGCCTGATCACACTAGTTATTGCCGATTGTATTGCGATTGCTTTTCGATCAATCAGGATAGAGCAGCCGTTAATTGAGATTAGTGACTGCCATTTAAAAATCGCTCTATCTTATTATCGACGATAATATGATTTGGTCTTTAGAAAATGTATCCATGCATCTCGCAACGGCGCCATAAGCCTCTTTCGTACTCTTCGTTTCTAGGTATGACAGTGTTGAAAGTCCCAAGGCCCTGACGGCGCTCAAGTACATGTTATTGTCCAAGATCATGTTGCGCACCCCGGAGGACGTACAGGCCATCATGTCCGGCAAACTGGCGGTGAAGTACGCGGGCTTGGATCTGGATGCGATGCGCGCGGTCGCTGAGGCCAGCCATCGGCGATCATTGGCGGATTTTCAGAAGGCGGTCAAGCAATATCGGCAGCAGCTCGAGGACGACGTGATCGTGCGCGCACACCTCGGTTCCCTATACGACGCTATGCTGGAGCAAAATCTGTGCCGTTTAGTCGAACCTTACTCGCGAGTCCAGGTATTTTGTCGAGGATACCGTCGGGCCTGAGGGCACACGCGTCTCTTTTTCAGCCGAAGCCTTCAGTCTCTCTCTTTCCCATTCTCCGCTGAATTGGAGTGTCCTCGAGGAGGGATATGCGGGAGGAACTAATTTCTCTTCTCCGCAGGTGAGCCACATCGCCTCGTGTATATCTCTACCATTGGCGCAAGTAGAAAAGAAACTGTCGCAGATGATACTGGACAAAAAGCTCCGCGGAGTCCTCGACCAGGGAGAGGGCGTCTTAATCGTTTTCGAAGACACACCCCGCGACAAGACTTACGAGATTGCGCTGGACACGATACACAGCATGGGAAAGGTCGTCGACACGCTCTACCAGAAAGCGAAGAAACTCACCTAGCCTTATTCAATATGTATTTATACAAGGAGAAATTTACCACAATGATTATAACCGTTTAATAATTAGTTACCTTCATTAAACATGGTTGATTAACTGTATCTCTCCGTAATAATTAACAATGACGACACTCGAGTGTCGCTGCGAAAGGAGTGCTCATTTATCCGATATGTTCTTAATAGAGTTGCTTTTATCGACAAATAGAGATTGTTTGAGAAGAACTGTTAAATATGAAATAATGAATTCGCTTGAGGTTCCGCGAACAAGTCTCCCCCCCCCCCCTTGATCTAGCGTTCTCGAAGTTATTTTTCGTAAATGTTCCTCGGAAGAAGGAGGGACGAGCGAAGCGAGGTGAAAGTGTCATAATGTCGAAAAAATCGTGAAATATAACAAAACTAAAAGAACCATTGCAATTTACTTTATTGCCCTCGAAACTATTGGAATTTACATTGCGCGAAATTCATTGAGCAACCGTGACGTATAGCATGATTCACGCATGAACGATCGATCGCGCGATACGACGGATTCTCAGCGGTCTGGCATCCAATGAGAGTCCGTCAACGACGTTCCCCGTCTCTAGGAATACATTCTGAGTGTGCCGACATGATGCTGTTGATGCTGTTGTTGAAATCAACATATTCAGTCGTTCCAAAATTGCTGGTACGAGGGTTGCTACTTATATTTCTGGCCTAATAATGAAAAAAACATATTTATGATCGAAATTGGTTTTATTGTTTTTCAAAATATTCTCCATGATGATCAATACACTTTTGCATGCGTTTGAACCAATTTTCGAAGCACATTTTCCACTCTGATTGAGGTAACTGCAAAACATGCGTTTTGAATGCATCAACCGCTTCTTCGCCGGTGTCGAAAATCGTTGACCGCGTAATTTATTTTTGATGTGCGGGAAAAAAGTCATTGGGTGCCAAATCAGGGCTGTACGGCGGATGACCCATCAATTCGATGTTTTGGCCGGTCAAAAATTCCTTTGTTTGACCCGATATGTGAGAGCTCGCATTGACACGATGAAGAATGATTCGCCTCTTCTTCTGCTTTTCTCGAATTTCTCCGATGACTTCTGGCAAACAAATGGTCGTGTACCATTCAGAATTGACCGTCCTACGGTGCTCTAACGCCACTGTCGCCACGTGACCGAATGCCGAAGAAATAGGCAACCAGTTGCTTCGATGTGCTTCTTCCGCGAACAACTTTTGTTGGATTTGACTCGTCTTGGAAGACCCATACAGTCGATTGCTGTTTTGTTTCGGGCTCATATGCATAGATCAATGATTCGTCACTTATGTAGATGTTATCACAGCCTTTGATGCACCTTGAACGTATTTTTTCAACATTTCCTTACACCAATCAACACGAGTCTTCTTTTGAGCGTTTGTCAGATTATGCGGGATCCAACGCGAACAAATTTTTTTACGGACAAATGTTCATGCAATATCTTATTGATGCTTGTCATACTAATGCCCAAAGATGCCTCAATCTCACGGTATGTTACATGACGATCTTGCTTTATCAGTTCACGCACAGCATCGATATTTTCTGGCACAACAACCTATTTTGGACGACCTTCACGGAATTCGTCCTGGAGCGAACGTCGGCCACGATTGAATTCGTTATACCAGTTTTTTACAGTGCTGTAGGGTGGTGCTTTCTCGCTGTATAAAGAATTAAGTTCATTGATGCACTCTTGTCTTGATAATCCACGTCAAAAGTTATGAAAAATAATCGCACGAAAATGTTCACGAGTTGATTCCATTTTTTGCCCGACAATTTTTCAATTCACTATAAACAACACAAACCGCACTCAAATGACAATGTGTTCTTATGTTCTTATGTTCAACAATATCAAGTTTCCAATGACAACAGATGGCGCCTGGCAACACTTACTGCTACCAAAGCCAGAAATATAAATATCTACCTACATAGATGGTGACAGCATTGAAAAATGAAAAAAACGTTTTTCCGTGAGAACTGAAAGTTTATTAGCTACCGCGTCGGGCAAAAGCCATTAGCCGGAAGTCAGCAATTCCCTAGGACTACTTTCGTTAAAAAGACAATGGCCGGTATTCTGAACGCGCTCACAACGATTTTAGAGCGTCGACGAACATTAATTTATCAGTAATTCTGAGTAGATATTTCGCTGTAAAAACATATAATTCTCGATTTTCCCTAATAGAGCATTGTTATTATCGCGTTATAAACAATACAAACGATGCTGATAATGCACGTATTTTTTAACTTGTTAGCGCGTTCTAAAAACGAGCCGATATATTTTGTTACCTTGCAGCGTGTTAGAAACAATTTCGGAACGCAAGAACAGCACTGTCGGTACTGTCGGCGGATTTCGGAACGCAGCCTGGGAAAGCGAGCTCGCCCATTGGACACCGCGCACCGGATGGTCGGTGGCGGCGCGGATTCTCCGTCGCGCTTCGCGGGACCGTCGCTTGACGGCGGTAGTAGCAAACGCACTTACCGCAAACACACCGTAGCGCCACTTCCTGTTTAAAGTGCACGTTTCAACAAAGGGACATAACACACACACAGTGTAGTTTAGAAAAGTTTTTCTACGGCGCGTATAATGGCGGATGCTACGGTACAAAAGGTAAAATATCGCAATTTTGTGGCGTAATCGAGCTCATTAGCGCTGCTTAAGGAGGACCGATCTAACTGAAGGGAGTGCACGCCGACGGAGCAGCAATCATGATGGTTAGGTTAAGCACCGGTATTCGTCCGAGCGTGTTTGTTAACACTTCTTTCTCTCTCTCTCTCTCTCTCTCTCTCTATCTCTCTCTCGCCCTCTCTCTCTTTCTCTCTTTCACTCGCTCGCTCGTTTGCTCGTCTGTCCGTTCGGGAGAAGTTCCGAGTTTACCGTCACCGTCATTGTGACTCGCACGGAGAAACTATCCTCTCGACGAGTTTCTCTCGGCTCTTCCCGTCCTGCCTGGTGCATCGCCTACGCTTAGGCGCGCGTATCGGGTGCCATGAAAAAAACGTTCGCGGCACATTAACGAGTTTAACCTCTTTCTTCGAGTGCCGTCTTCGCTCCGCAATGCTTCGCCTGGTGGTTGGTCTCTTTTTTTCGAGTCGAGTCGTAGCGTCGATCTCGCTTCGTTAACCGTTAGAACCGAACGAAGTGGATGGGAGTGTGATGGCAATAGTAATTACACGTTGGCGTCACTTTTCATCGGCTTACAGAGCATATCAATAGTGACCATCTTTGTATAGACTTCTTGTAGCTTTAACTTCAGTCCTTTTTTGCAAGTTCATCATTGGGAAAAGATATTGCATATATAGTGATATCATTGTTGCCGATTGCACAATTGCCCATATTATTCGGTCCTTCCGTACAAATTGTTGCTATAAACAGCTGATAATAGTTCTTTATGTCCAATAATAGGACTATTTGAATTTTCTTGTTGAAATTCCTGAAAGTGGTGAATATTAGTAAGAAAATAACTTCTAGCTTAAAGCATTTTTAGAGATAATATACAGCGTTTTATATCTTGTATTGAATAAAATTTGAAATATTATTCTTCTGTTCCTTATGAAAATAAGTTCAAGCTGACATATATTCGAAATAAATAGATGAGTGAAATAAACTTTTGTTATTAGAGAAACTTCTTTTTTATTTATTTTTGTTTGTTTTTTTTAGAGGATACAAAATCTTATAAATTGTGCTGAAAATTTTCATCACAGTATGAGCAAACAATTGAATACTCTGTGATAACCCCTGAAAATTATTCTGTTATGCGAAAGTACAAGTTAAAATTTTTGCTTTAACAAAACTAAATTCTTGCTTTTAAAAATTTTGGAAGAGTTTTCAGCAAATATTCTTTTCTACAGATATTCCTATATGAAAGATACTTCTTTTGTCAATATTTATATAAATGTTTTCTGTATTTCCCAGTAAACCAAGCAGTGACTTAAGTAATACATTGCTAGAAGGTTGTACAGCAAATGAGGAAGTTATAAATGTAATGAAAATGATTTGCATTGGGGTACATCATCTCTAACATTTAAGACATATTGTTTCAATATTGACATTATTATCACATTTGTATATGCTATTATTTTTAACTCTATATTACATTTTATACCAAAGTAATTTGTATGCTCTCGCAACTTCTTTATCCTTAAGTCATTTGTTGGTTAACATATCTGTGCAAGCATCTTGTTAAGGTGATACATGTTTGAGTTTTTTTTTACAGGTTCAAGAATACAAAGATTCTCTCAAGTCAAAGGTAATTTGGTTTCTTCAATATTATTATATTTTTTGTTTGATTATATTATTGTTTTCTTTTCATTACTGAGAGATTTTTCATATAATACATACTGTTGTGTTTATATATTATCCAGGCAGAACAACTTTTAATAAAAGGATTCCCCGAGAAGATAGTCAAATTAAATGAATTGCTGGAAACACCTGGATTCTGTAATCGGAAGTTGTCAGATGTACACCAAGACTTAAATGTACCCATTCCAGACCCTATAATTCTTAATCATTCCGAAGATGGTCCTACTTCGAAGAAACTTAAATTGGACAATAATGTGGAGGAGACTAGTGGAACCAAAGTCATGGTACTTCCAAATGGCCCAGTACCTTGCAACAAACCATTGTCCGACTTGATTCATATAGTTAAACCCTATATTAGACAACTTTTGGAGGACTCCAACTTAGTGAGTATTACATACTTGAAAATCTATTAACAGCATTATTATCACTATCTTCATCGATATCATGTTCTTTGGAATATTTCTTGCTTATCGTACCGTCATGAGTGGATTTCTCAAATCATCGACGTTATTGTTGCAGCTAAAAATGTGGATTTCTTTCCTAATCCCAAAAATCGAGGACGGGAATAACTTTGGCGTGTCAATTCAAGAAGATACATTAGCCGAGATCCAATCGGTTGAGAGCGAAGCTGCAGCATTCTTCGACCAAATTTCTAGGTATAGTAGGAATAATAAGAAAAAACGGTTGAGCAGGGTAGGAAAAAAGAAAATTTGGTATCACAGGTATAGTGGTTGAGAAAGTAGTTGGTAACATCAGAGCTGTTAATCAACATTCTTAAGCGGACTCGTTCGGGAGAAAGAATGTTCTCATCTTCCATTTCCTTTCTACAGGTACTTTATCTCCAGAGGTAAGATCGTTAGTAAAGTCGCCAAGTATCCACACATCATCGACTACAGAAGGGCGGTTCAGGAATTAGACGAGAAGGAGTACGTGAGTTTATGGCTCGTCATGTGCGAGGTCCGCAATCGCTACTGTTCCCTGCATGATCTCGTGATGAAGAACCTGGAGAAGATCAAACGGCCACGTTCCTCTAACGCGCAGTCTCTGTATTAAACGTAGTTGTACGTAAACTTACACTCGCGTACGCACGGAACGTCACACACGAATGTTCAGGCAAGAATGTTTCGTGACAGAAATGGAGGAAAAGAAAGAAAAGAAAAGAAAATAAAGCATCCATCTCTCTCTCTCTCTCTCTCTCTCTCTCTCACATGATATGACTCGACTGCCTTGGAATTAGTTCATCTGTTCTGACCGATTATGGCACTATGAAATAAAACCGATAGCTACACACTACACTCTCTGAAATTGTATTACCTAGAATGTGCATACTTAAGTTATTGATACGTTTAGGTCGTAATTGGCTTCTTTCTCTGAATGAAAAACAATTCTGAAAACCTCACCGGTCCCTACCGGTAAACACCGCTGTGTTCTCCTCGGGATCGTGGGTAAACTTGTCTCGTGAGGCTAATCTATCTTTCACGCTGCGTGAATTTAACATCGAATCTGACATACTTACGGATGTTTTTCTGTGTACGATAAGTTTTTCGTGTACGAAGTTATGTGGTGTAGTATAATGCGTATATGTACTTTTCGCCGATCACGTAATTGGGGGCACTTGTAAAAGAAGTAACCGATGATTATAGATTGAATTTAGCATAGTTAAGTGGATCATTTGTAATTTATATCTGTAAGGAGATTGGAACGTAAATCGAGATATTAAATAGTACGAACTCTAAATACCCTTGTAAGCTAGCCTAGTACCCCTTCTTTCATATATAAGTCTCACATGTATTGTGCTATGGCAAACCCTAAGTGTAAGATTAACGTACATGCTAGCATATGTTTACAGGGACTGTTGTATGGAATGTAGCGCTATTCGATGCTTGAGATAAATTTGAACTTTTGAGCAAGGAGAGAAGTACCGGAATAAAGAACACATCTTTTTCTTTTCTGTCGAACGTTTTCATTGAAAATAACATGAATAGAATAAATGCATAATTAATGATTTTCGTATGTTTACACAAATCATTCGTACATGTAAAATTACAAATAGTATATATATATAAAATTACAAATTTCCGATATAACTGTTTTACAGTATAAGAATTCGTAATACCTCAAGTATATCGGAATGTATAAATATATAAAATGGATAAAATACGTAAAAATGCATTAAAATACTTTGAGTCGGAAAGTACGAAAATATGTATATTATCTCTTAATAAGACCACATATCATAGTCATTCATTTGTTGTTCTTGCCTTACATGTCAAAGGCAAACGTTATCTGGAAAATAGGATTAAGGTAACAATACCTTACATTGTATATATAAAATAGTGTATATAAAATGGTAACTCCCAATGATTCCCTGGTCCTTTGCTGCGGCCATCTTACGTTGTGACATCAGAGGCGAGGAAACGCGTGTACAAAATTCTCGCAAAGCACGTTAAGAAAGAAAAAAAATGTATCTATGAAATAATATTTGTGCTATTGACTGAGTAAATTCGTAAAATAGCTCAAGAGTTTTCTCTTGCTCTAATAATCAATAAATAACTGTAAGATTAACGTAACAAGATTATGCACGTGATCAAAAAGTATGCCGTGTATCGCAGTAAAAAAGCAGTTTCCGAAATATTTTACAAACTACCTCCTCGTTTCATTACGTTTCGTTCGCGCTGTGCTCATCCGAAAAATAGCCAGGGTTGAGGTAACAACGTCGATTAAATCCAATCGATTGCACAGTTGACGTTTGACAATTATCATCACTTGTCCTCAGACGTTGCAATTGCGAGTCAATCTGCAAGTTATACATTGATTATAAATTCTCGTACAGTACTTACATTACTACACACATTAGTGTCTTGTAATAATTACAATATTGAATAAATCTTGAACGTGACATTCACGGGCAAAAGACATGAATACGCTGCAGAGAATTTGTATAAACCAGCTGCCAGTTTCAGTGTCTCTATAAGCGACATGTCCAGGCAGGGTAGAGTAAACTACGAGCATATCTGCGTAATTCCTGATCGAATATTTCGGGCCGAGTAATATTGTATTATCGGGTTTGACCTCTTCATCCATGTTTTCAGGGTCGATCGGGATTATATCCGTAACGAGTCTTTCATATTTTATTTTCTGTTTTCTCAATCCCCTAACACACAAATATTGAAAAAAATACATAACAAATATAATATATTGTAACCTGATAAATATAAATTATTCATTTGTGTAATATTTATAATTGGTAATAATATAAGTAACAACTTAAATTGGATAAGATCAGAAAATGAGATAATACGACGGAGTTAATAAGGCAGAAAGTTATGGAATTGTAATTACGTACCTGCAAAGTTGAAAAATGAAAATTTTCGGCTTTCCCGCCATTTTCGAACACGCATCCACAGTGAAATAATCCAAGATTTCATCGCAGAAAACCTTCTCGGCATCCTTTTGTCCAGTATCTACTCCTAGTATCTCTGTGCCATGATTTACTTCATTCTCTCTACCGTGACTACTAATGATCACAAAACATGAGTCAACATTTGCTAGCTCCTCTCTCTTTGAAAACTTTTTCACTTCATCCTTTATCTCCTTGGAGAAATAAATTCACAGAACAATTTATTGACGCTCCGAAAGATAAACATGTATCAAGTGAAATAATACTTCATACTTACTTTTCCTTTCAGATTTTTCTTTGAAATAACATGGAAACCCATTTCTTGAAACAATTCCGTCAGATTATTTTCATCGTGTTCCGCCGCGAGTCTAGGCTTCTCATAGAGAATATTGGTTATTAACAATACTAACCCACGAGGATTACTCCGCATGGGATATAACGAGATGAGACCATTCTCATCATCAACAAATTGTACAGCTTTTTGTAATTTAATTTTCAAGGGTTCGTCAGACAATTCAATATGATGAAAAGATTTGTTCACATAAGATACATGAGTACTGTAAATAGAATATTTTATTAAACATAAAGGAGTTTTAATAGAGAATTATGATTGATTATCATATTTGTAATTAATCTTAAGAACCTATACAATAATTAAAAGAAAGTCTAACTATCAAGATAGTTATGTGTTATAATTATCTGTACTTTATGGTTTTCTACTAGGAGAGTTGTGACTTTCGATTAAAAAAATCGATTTTGTTTGATATATCGTCAATCCTTATAATCTGTAGAATATCCCTACGAATAAATTAATAATAAATTATTACTTGTCATATTTATTGTTGTTGTTCTCATGGCTCCTTTTAACTTTATCTTCCAATATGTCACATATATCTTCGTGGCCACTTTCTTTCAAACTCAGCAACAGACGTTCGTATGCTTTCGGTCCTCTTGTTTGTATTTTAGAAAATATATCTTTGATTGTACTTCCAGCTGTTAAATTCTTCTGTAACAATATAATATACATTTGATCTTTAATTTAATGGAAAACACTTGGAATAATTACACCTAATAATCATATTATTAAAGAGTAAGAAAACATTATTCTTATGCAAATATTGAAACAAGGAAAAACGAAGGGGGAACACAGTGCTAAGTAAGATGATTGTTCAAGTTGTAACTTCACCTGCTCATTATAAGCAAATAATCAATAGCACAATAATGAATGGTGCATAAAACTCACTTCCCATTGTGGAATGTTTACATCGTCTAGGTTGTAAATTTTATGTTCCAACAACTTTGGCCATAATTTCGTTATTTTAATCTTGGGTACAACTTTGTCACAATGAAGGTCTATTTTATCACGGTCCTTTTGTTCCATGTTAATCTAATCACGTTCGTTAGCAACTGATTACTCTTCACCTCAGAAAAATATTAAAATAGGCCTTTCGAATATACTTTGATAATATTTCACAATGTATCTTAAAGTATAGAACTTTTCTTTAAATTTCTACGATTTCCACTACATCATTTCATACGTTCACTTCATACGTTTCAATAAATTCACGTTCGCGATTGGCACATTACCCACGTTACTTTGTTCAGCAGACAAAAGATTTCTGAGGATTAAATCACCCAACTTAATCTTGGGAGAGATGTATGCGCAAACTGGATTGTGCTGAGTTGTGCGTACACACATTATACACTCTATAGATTTTACGGCTCATATTGCGAATGAAAGTCTCTTTTATAAAAAAAAGTGCCTTAAATGTGGCTCAGCCAATCAAAGAGAATTCACACCTTGAAAGAAAAGCAGAAACAGAAAAGCAGCAGCCAATCAGAATGCTCGCTGGTAGTAAGCAGTAGATAAAGCAGAAACTGACAATTACCAGCGCGAGTTCTGATTGGCTGCTGCTTTTCTGCTTTTCTGTCAAGGTATGAATTCTCCCTCAGTTGGTTCCTAAGCTATTTTTAGAAAAACTTTTCTCGATAAAAGAAAGTTCAAAAGATGGACCAGTGTGTATTCCCAAACGCAGCTTTAGTTCAGATCTACAATAAAACGTGGTCTACAATTAGAATTTAACCCCTTAACGCACAGTTTTTTTGAAAAAAACCGGCCAAAAAAAATCAATTTTTTTTATGTAAAAAAATTTTTTTCTTTGCTTTCACATTGTTATTTTCAATTCTCGATTATATTCTAGTGAAAAATTATAGCAGCATAAAATACAACGCCGCTCGAATTATTTCGAGTGTGCACAGTTTGGCCTGTTTAGCGCGCTCGAATTAACTCGAGCGTACAAGTTAAGGGGTTAAGCTCTGAGTCTTAAAGCACCTATTGTAAACAGGAACTTAGAGTTGAGATCATCTCCAAATGTTGGTTCATTTCATTAACTACGAAACATCTGAAAATGAACTTAAGACGGTTTCTAAATATAAAATTCATCTATGAATACTTCCCTATAGATTTTCCGTACCGGCAGTGAATATCATAACGCAACTTATGGATACCGCCCATTATCCTATACCCAATCAGCACACAGGCTGCGCAAACTCACAAACTCGTGACGCAACCAATGAAACTTCGACCTTTTAGACGTGTCTGACCATTTAAAATTTCTTTTTAAATAGCGTGGTACAGAAAACTTGAGCTCGAATTCTGAATTCTTTTATCGATAAAAATTAAGAACCATCTGATTGGTTGAAAAGCCACATTTGAGGCACTTTATCGATAAAATAGAATCCAGAATACAAGTCTTTATTAAGGGGAGATTCTGGTCTAGAGTGCTCAAAAGTAGGATAACTTAAAAAATTTTATTATTAATTTTTTATTAGTTTTATAAGTTTACTCCAAAGATGTAACTGTTATTTAAAATTATCTATAAGTTGAAGCCGATTCGTTTATTAGTTTTTGAGTTCTGATGTCGGCGGAGAGAAAAATGGTTTCAAGAAAAACGCGTTTAAAGTTTCGGGTATTGTTTTCTCATACTTATAGCATGTTTTTGACTAATCTGCTATTCCTGGCCCATAGAGTAGTCCTTCTTCATCTTCATAAAAATCATACAGCTTCTCCATGTTGTTTTGGCCAGCTATACGAGCTTGTTTTGCAGCTTCAGAACTCTTGCTCTCCGCGTGCGCGAGTCGCTGCTTGTCCGTATATTCAACAAACAATTTGCATTGCTGGCCAATATTTATCCTCATAACTTTTAAGATGGAAACATAACTTTCACTAAACATTCCCGAAAGAACTAAATTCGAACAACCGTTAAAAGTTATAATCCTTATCTTACGGAGATATACACGCATCAAAGTCATTGTATATCTGGAAAAACTTGTTTACTTTGTTTATTTTGTTTGAATGCCTGGATACTTCCGAATACAAAGAGATTCTCGTGCGCTTCGAACGATCGGCCAGCTGTTTAAATTAAACTGCTAATTAAACTGCTTAAAACTTCGTCAATATTTCGAATTTCGAAATGTCGCTATAAGAACATATTCTTGAGACATTGTACTATAAGAATATATAGAAAATAAAAAATCGATTCCTTTAAGATGTTAGACCAGAATCCCCCCTTAATTAACCCGTTCTTTTTAGCTGAACTAGCTACACTAATTCAAGAAATGTTTGCATAATGAAGCGTGAGAATCTCATGTGACGCTTCATACGCTCCAATGTGTATATACATTTCTTGAATTAGTGAAATCAGATCAACACAAAAAAAAAACATTAAAGACTATCCCATTCTCTAATAAGTTTCCAATTAAGTGCGTTATTTTGAAATATTTGTGCACCATGAGCGCTGCTTTCGAGCATCGTTAATTAACAACAGTCGTGATACACGAATATTCGCTCATAATGCCTGTGACTGGAAATTCTCGATGGTACTATGCTTAAGACAGCATTAATGAAATCTTCCATACTTGCTGCTAACACTCATCATCTGCAACGAAACATCTTATTTACTGGCATACAGAAAATACTCGGAAGAAAGAAATGCTCACTATACCATGAATTCTATTTAGCCGGGAGAAATGTCGAGAAACGCTCGAGGAAACACCTGACAACGAATGAGATTTGTCATGCTGAAACTTTTATTGTACAGAGGAAATCTATTGACAATGTCGTAACAAGGTAAACATTCTACTATTTCCATCTCATGCGAGTAAATACAAATATATATATATATAAAGTACAAAAATATCTCAACTTAACCTATAGTTACACTATAATAACGTTACAATCTAATCAACGACATTTAATGTTAATTTCGCGCGATAACTTGCTCAATGTGTTTCTTCAGTGTTTGCAGCTGATGCTTTGTTTCAGCATCGAGCGACGGGATATTTGAGATGCGCAGTCCCTCCTGCGGCAACAAGGACATCATGTTGCCATCGGACAGAGGCACATTGACATTGGCGGTCTTTTCCTCGACGACCGCGGAAACCAGCAAGGGGCTGCCCTGCATGCTGAGTACCATTTCACCTTGACGCGGACGCCTCAACACATTCAAAGGTGTGTTCGGCTTGATCTTGGGTGTGACGACGTCGTACATATTCATGGGCTTCGGTATGGCCGGTGTTTTGAAGACATCCACCTTTACAATAGGCATATTCAAGTGATCCTTGCTTCTCGCTCTGGTCTTCCTCACGGTCTCCTGATTGATCTCGCTGAACTTGACTTTGCTCGTTCTGGTGGAGTTGCGCGTTTTCCTCGACATCGGCGCTGACATCTGAGCCCTGGTGGCTCTCGATGTGCTGTCGACACTGGTACCTCCTTCCGTCGCGTAGCCGTCGTCGGACGCGGCAGTGGCTCGTTTCACTGCGGTCCTGATTGTGTTCCTGGCATGCGGCACGGCGGGCGGCCGCATGCAGTTCATCCCTGACGAGAAGACCTCGTCGCAGTTCTCCTTTAGATCGTCATTCTCGAGAGCCAGTACCTCGCCCAAGGTCATCCGGCGTATCTCCGACGGCAGGCGAGAGATGGTCATGTCGACGAAGGTCTCGAAGCCCCGGATGTCCGCCTGCGCGTCCTGCTCCAGCTTGAGGATGCTCTTCTGCACGTGCCGCTCGAAGGTCCTCAGCTTCATGTCATGGTCGCCCTGAGAGTCGTTTCTGGGCTTGCGCGTATACTTGGTGCGCGGCATCTCGTCCGCACCGGGATAGACACGAGCCGGTAACCGCAACGACGGCTCGCGCCGAAATACGAAGCCGGAGGACTAGTCCTCGCGAAGCGCGCCGCGAAAACGAGGGATCACGTCGAAATTCGGTTGCGCGCACCCCGTCAGAGCCTCGGTCAGGTATTTTCTCGGCGGCGGGAACGGTTAACGGTTTGATTAATCTCCAACTGTTTATACCGGGCTCCGCCGTTGAACAAGCGTGAACCGGCGGCGCATGCGCGGTGGCCCCGCGGCGTAATGAATGCAGCTTTGAGATGGCGTTTGACAATGGGAAACGGTCTTGTGTGTAAAGCCTGTATCAGACTATGGATTAGGGATTGGGGATTGGAAATCGACCAATGAAATCACAGTAAGTCTGGATTGAAATTGAAGGATGAGTTTGGCTATCGAATTGGAACATGAAGCCCAACCAATCAACATTTAGCAGGCTACGATTGGGAATATTGGTCGGAATTTAGGCCGGTATTCATAGTCGGATCTTATATTTAAGATTGTCTTAAGTTTACCTTCAGATGCTTCGTGGCCAATGAAATGAGTCGTAGAGCATCTGAAAATAAACTTAAATATAAGATCCGACTATGAATACCAGCCTAAGGCTTAATTTTATTTTCTTGATATTTTCATATTATGAGCCAATAGTCGCCGAGTATGTCGATGGGTCTAGTGTAAACTGTGAACTATATAATTTGCACAAATTTGTACAAAACTGTGTACAAATGTCCCTAGGAATAGGAAAATTCTATACATGTGGCAAAACTTGTTGGCGATAAACGATACTTGCAAGAAAAATCGTATACTTCTAACTGTGCAAAAAATTTGTTGACAACTTGAGCATGCTAGCGTGAAAATAACCCAAATCGCAGTGTGATTGGACAATCCTCAATTCTCAATCCGCGATCATAATCCCTAATCCATACTGATCCGGGCCTTCATCCATCTGATACGGGCCTTAGATCTGTTCTTTATAGCTGAATCGACTGCACTAGCTCGCAATAGTTCTTGTTACCTCTTTTTTACACGAAGTCATTTATATATCTGTTTCTCTCTAGTTCCCCGGAAATGTGCCCTAGTTCAGCGACAAAGAATAGACCTCCTGTCTCCAATGTCCAATAGAAAGATTTGTTTTCGCTCGGGAGTAAAATGATATCTGATTTGCTGAGGAATCGCAGGGCTCAAGTCGAACGAAATAACGAATGATTTGAAAACAATGTTACACGAGGTACACGTTACCTCGCAATGTTACTCTCGTTGGACGATTCCTGCGATTCGAACCGAGTGGAGTCGTCACTAATATGTAAGGCTATTTTATAGAACGGATACCTGTGTTTTTGTAAAAATGTACATTCTACAGGTATATGTATATATTTTGAATACGCAGGACTCGGTAGGACTACGATAATTTTTCTTACCCGTTACGTCGGCCAAACGTTCGTCATGGAGAAGTCACGAGACGCGAACTTCGAATGTTTTCCGAATCTGACAACGCTTGCCGATGAAGCTTGAACGCTCACGATAATGATAAGTACCAATCCTCGGAAAAATCACAGATCTGATTATAGACGAGATGAACGACAAGAAATGTTGGTTGCTCCACCGTTGGATTTATCGTATAGGAAAGCAGCTACCGTGAACGGTATATAAACGAAGACTTGTTTTCCTACAGATTTCTTTGAAATATACTTAAGTATTTTGCAATTTAAAATTGATAACATTTGTCATATACCAACTTTCTGCCATGATATTACCAGATGATGATTAATCCTTAATTGGCATATTTAGATCGATTTCTTCACTTGATCGTGAACTATAATTTTTAGATAGCAAATTTTTAAGAAACAATAGAAATGCCTTCTGAAAGCTTGTACTCTCTTCATCAGGATTGTTACAATGAAATATTTAAAGTTTGCTTTGACCCTAAATCACTAATTTTTTTCCCAGACACATCACACATAAAATTTTTATGAAATATAATTAAATTGTAGTTTATAGAAATTCCTTCACATATAAAAAAAAATTTCTCTGAAAAGAAATTGATCAGAGAAATGGATGATTTATGATACTGGATAAGTGCTGCGAGAAATATTGCTGTATGGTCATTGTTATTTTTATTATACAGTATTTGTAAACATTTATCTTTCTCTATAGACCTGATGAAGAAGCGATACGCACAGACGACACGCACTGGGAAGGCACCGATAAGAACCATGAAGGATCGTTATGTGACCAGTACATTGTGGCTGAGTAACAATCTGCTGAGCTCGATGGACGGCCTGCAACGTCTCGCGAATCGAGTCCTCGACGATCCTGCACACCTCAGCTGGCTGGATTTGTCCTTCAACGAAATAAGCGAGATCGGCGAGGATATCGAGCAGTTTGCGAACCTAAAAATCCTCTACTTGCATGGGAACAAAATTTCAAACATTGCGGATGTCTTAAGGCTGAAGAAGCTGTCGAATCTTAGATCTTTGACGTTACACGGTAACCCGGTCGAGGATATTCCCTGCTACAGGGGTTACGTTGTACACCTTCTGCCGCAGCTGCAAGTCTTCGATTTCTCACCGGTAATCGCCGCCGAGAAGAAAAGGGCGTTACCTGTCGGATTCGCTAAAATGATACGCCCAGAGATACGAATATAAAACTTTATTCTCGCTGTATACTTTTGTGATACATCCTTTTCGATTCATCTCTTACTTTTGTCGTAACATTTTACCACGTCGGTTTTACAAAACTTGGACGAGCGGGGAATTAATGTTTCTCTCGGAAGTACAAGGTATATATTTGTTTATGGGGAGTTGACCTAATTTCTCAAGTAACAACGACGCGGTGAGATATGCGATTACTCTTGTATCCTAGCAAATTCGTGACTGAGTAAAAAATCTCAAAGGATGTACAACATAAAAAGGTAAGACACTCTGTGGCCTCGTGAGGATGAAAATGGTCAGGTTTGAGAGTATATAAAAACGGGAGACTTTACGGATCGAAAACCGAGTGTTCTGCCAAATAACTAAATTGCAATAGGCCTGGACGAGGTTTTATTATATATATGTATATATAAGTATATGTATGTATATATATTACAAATCTATTTGTCAATATACTCGACCGTGAACGCTTCATGGCTCATGTCGAGTGCGCATAAATTCAGTGCCGCCTGTGTTTACTGCGGTGTTTGCTCGACTTCTCCAAGTCCCTCTCGCGGGATCGGCTGCGTGACCTGTAACGGCTGCGGGACGATTTGTGGCTTCCCGATCGTCTCCGCTGCGTTTTCTTGGGCTTGCAGGATCTGCCGCGGCTGTGGCTACGGGACCTGCTCCTGCTGTGCTTCTTACGCTTGGAGTGTTTGGTCCCTTCGCCTCGCGACGGCGAGGTGCTCGGTGATTTTGAACGTCTGAAACGAAACGTTAAAGCAGTTGAGAAATTTCGCGTGTTTTCACCGAAAATCAGCGGGAGTTTCTACCGGTGTGAAAAGTAACATCGTCGCATCTCTACGTTGTATCTAGATAGTATCTGCATTGTGTACAATAAGTTCTCACGCTGCTATCTCGCCTTTTGATCGACTATTTGCAACCACACGTTAGATTTCATGTACAACACTGTGGAGTACAAATGAATTATATATACTATTATTGTTAATTTGTAGAATTGCACTTTATTAACGGGAAAATGATTCTTTCGACGTTACAAGGTCAGAAAGATAACATTTCAACTAGAGATCTTTCAACTGGAGAGAACTTAACAATATCAAGATAGATTAATGTAAATATATCATTATTACAGGCGATTTACGAGAGAGGATTACGATTAGATTATGATTAAGATTATGATCATCACCTGGGTGATTTCGTTCTCTCGGGAGCCGCGTGTGTGCCGCTGCGACTGATGAATCCGCCCCAGGCGTTGTGGTGTTTCGGTAATGGCGGGCTCGGTGTGTGTCCATCGACGTCCCCGCCGCGCGCTTTCGTCCTGGCTTCCTCGTACTGACGTCGCAGCTCCTCCACGCGCTTCTCCAGCTGCTCGGACTTGACGCGCGGCCTGGAGTAGAGACGCAGTATACGCCGACAGACGTCTCGAATGGCGGACTCGCTGACACGGAACAGCGTGAGCCAGGAGGGCGATGTAGGAAGCGGCAGCTGCAGCTGACGGGCGGCCAGGTAGACGCAAGCGCATGCCACCGTTTCCGGCTGATAACGCAAGAACACGTCGGAGCGCAGCGAGTCGTTCATGTAGTTCCAGCTCTGTTGCATCAAAGCGCGATTCTTCTCGTATCCGAGGACTTGCAAGTACATGACTATGATCTTGTGGGGGTGCTTTACGTGAACGCAAAAACCCAGCTCCTTCAGCACCCGTCTCTCGGACTTGATCACCTGATTCTTCAGCGCTACGTAATTCTGATCGAGAATCACAGGTTGTATCGGCCTGAAATTGTAAAAAACGGTATTTGTCAATTCCTTTCTTCATTTCTCATTCTCTGCGTATATATTACTGTGTATCATCTTTTAAATGTATTGTTAACACGTTGAGTGTGCCGTGAAGGTTACCGGTGACCAACACTGTGATATTACCGCATCTCACGCGTTTAGTTGCGTACAGCCGATAAAGTGTCAATCAATCGAGATATATTTAGCTAACTACTATTATTACATGGAAAAATCTCGGTTCGTGCGATGTGTATGTTGCAACGTGGAAAATACAATTCCGTTGGTATAACTGAATTTGTCAACTTCATTTCTTAATGAAATTATAGCTTTTCCTAACACAAATCCATCCCTTTATTCATTCATACATTATTCGAGGCTACTTACTTTTGACTGGAAACCTGCTTGATATGATTGAAAACATTGATCACGTCCCTGATGCGTCTAGGTGCCTCCTCAATTTTGCTGGCTAAGCAGATGCAACCCATCGCAGTTGTCTCCATATTGTGTCTAACTAACGATTTGCTATAATAAAACCGTTGGAATATCACTTGTCCTGTAGCCATTGCGACCTACACAAAATGAAAAGGTTCGGGGGATTAGATAACATTGTCATGAGTCTTAATCTCTAACCAATATGATCTGTTTTAGCCCTTCTGAGACGTTAGCAGAGATAAATCCGTGGTCCGTACTTCTACATTGCTCTAGACACGTTGGCTTGTATCCAGCGCACACATAGCCAGTCATTTGTCTATACTAGCCATCCAGTCTGGAAAGTACATACATTTTCAGCTGATTTTGTGCATTAAATAAACAATATATATTGTAGTATAGTTCTGTTCACGAAGGGTTAAAACAAGAACATATTTCTATATGTGCTAAACGAGCCAAAGTAAAAGAGAGCAACACAGAAAAAGTAACACATTTTCAAACCTAACCGTCATAATTGTCCAATAATTTATTGAAAGCAGTTTCACAAATACATCAACCAAGAATAATAATCATTTAATGTTTACTAAGTTATTTGGTCGAAGGCAATAATGCTCGCTTAATGGCGAACTAATGGAACGCTAATGAGACATAGTGTAAAGGTGACCTTTTCTCCAAACTCAAATTAATCTAATATTATCTTCAGATGCTTCGGAATCAATAGATTCGTTTAGTTTTAGTCCGAACTTGCACTGTTTGCTTTTAAAGTGAAACAAGTATGTAACATAGCTGTGAAGGAAAAAGGAACCAAGTTTCAATGCAACATTAGTTCAGCTAAAACAAACGGGCCTGGTGAAACGATGCGTATAATATCTGAAGATGTATCTGAGACGATTTTAAATATAAGACTTGACAATGAATACCGACATAATATATTATGTCTACGTATTAAACCTCAATCTTAATTTAAGGGGATGCCATACTTGAAAACTTTGCTGGTAAATACTAATTTCTTTCTGCAAAATTTGTGTCGTATCGGCTGCATAGAATTAGAAATACTTTTACACAGTTAAAGTAGAAACTTACGTTAGAAAATGAATTGGAGCATCGCTCAGTATGTGACGGAAATGAATTAAAAACTTCAAAACTGATACTCTAGCTATCAGTTAGCGTAAATATTTACCTGAATATTTGCCTGATATAGAAATCCCGCAGCTTGTACATACCACATGTGTTAATGCTCCAATCAGGGAAATTTCAAAGAACATTCTTATATCTTTTCAATTAAATTTAGAGGCCTAGAAAGATACAAAATTGCAAAAAAATTTGGGTATATCTTGATTAGATTTTCTATTAGATATGGTAAGATACAGCAGCGCACATTAATTGCATTCACGTTTCTATCATACTTACATTTACATAAAATCTATATGCATAGATAAAAAAACCCGGCTTATTAATTTTTTTTCGCGAATTTTGTCGGATAACATGATATTATACTATTTGTTACATATATATATATATATATTATACGGAATGTTTAAAAAAATTATGGTCAATAATGTAAAAGCAAAAAATACAAACTAAAATAAACAAAAACGTCCCAGTGAACATGGGGCCGCAATTGAACCGTTTTCGAGTTATCATATATATTTTGTTACATGTTGCACACGCATGCTTATTCTTCCTCTTTCTCTTCCTTCAATGCTCTAGGCTTACCAGTACTCTTCAACGGATCATCAACATGGACAGTGGTTACAGCAACGAAGAGTATGCGGACATGCACTTCATGTACGGTAAAACCAACGGCAGTGCACTCGAGGCAGCACCAAGAAGCTTTTCCCCTCTGTAACATCCTGTAGTGTTGAAACCCACAATTAAACATGTAATATCTGACGTGTAAGTAAAGCCACTCTTAGCAAAGAATTGTTTGCTATGCACTAGTGCTTCCATTGCCAGCGGCTGATCGTAACAAAACATGTGTGATGATTCAAAAACATTTCATTTGCGGCCCCACGTTCACCGGGATGTGTTCTTGCTTATTTTGGTTTATTTTTACCTTTACATTATTGACCATCAGTTTTCAAACACCTTATGTATTACATACTTGTTTACAATCTATTCAGTTGTAATTCTTCGAAGGTAACGTTATTGCTTAACATGTAACATATTAATTTTATTTAATTTAAATTCAGTTAAGTGAACGCAATTACAAAGTGTCTACTCAAATCCGAAAAAGGAAAATTCCCTGAGAATTTCCAAATTTTTCCAGGCATAAACAAATTTCTTGAGAATTCCAGGTTTTATCAGGGACAGTATCTGACGCAACTGTTTACCGACAACTATCGGATCGGTACGCGTCCTTGCGCAGCTTTTCTGCTGTATATCTGTTCGAGGACACATTCCTTAGTCGATGGTTGTCGGTAGGCATAAAATAGCAGGTAGTAGAATTACCTTTTGAACCCTGAATTATCTTTTTTATTTCCTTAAATGTGGTAGACATTTTAACACAATGAGCTCTTTCTAAACGACTTTCCCTATCTTTAACCTTTAGAGGACCGGAAAGCCAATATATTGGCGCTACCCATGATCGATACTTAGTGTATGGTCAATCCATGATATAAGATACCTTTTTTACCACTTCACTAAGGCGGATATGCCCTCTCAAATCCCGGCCCTCTAAAGGTTAAGAAAAAAATGGTAGACATTTTAACACAATGAACTCTTTCTAAACGACTTTCCCTGTCCTTAAGAAAGAAACCGAGAAAATCCACGGGAAAAATTGAAAAAAAGAAAACGGTTTTCTCCAAACTTTCACAACTATATTCATATGTACAGTCGGCGTCCGATTATGTATGCTGTACCATTCCCTATACGGAAAATTACGCGATTTTCAGCCCTGTATATAACCCGACTGTACAAGGCATACAAGAAAAGGTATTGTGACTGTTTCAGTATTTATGTGAGATATTTTGAAGAAGGCCTCTGTTATCAACGCTCACATCAAGTTCGTCATCCCCTTAAGCCATTGTCTGAAGAGAATTATTTAAATTCAGGTTAAGGTTTAATTAATGTCGGCAGGAACATAAGTTGGCACAGATGGTAAAATCGCTAACAGCGATTTTTAACCATATGATTAGTCGCCTGACGATAATCAAAAAACAAATAATTCTGTATATGATAGCAGAATATGGCAGTTAATATTTGAATTACATCAATTTTAAATACAGATTAAAAAAAAAGTAAACGACGTAAGTTCCTATTTGTTTTTACAAACAACCCGCTCTTTATTCTGCATACGGAGAAATCTGCTGATTGAGTCAATCGTCGATTAGCTTAATCGGAATTTGGAGAGAGTCATCCTGGATATACGATTGCGTTTCGCAATGATAAGTTCACACATTACACATTGCGAATAGGTATATTGGAAAAATAACGATCGAGAACTTGGCTATTGACCTCCAGATTACGAAGATTAGGTTGAGATCCATCGCCGACCTCAAGAGTTAAGGAAAGAAACCCACCTGTGGCAACTTCAGCAGAATACCGGCGGTCTGTATAAGCTCGCATCCTAATATCCGCAGGTCTGTCTCGGTCTCCGCGTCCAGGCCGTCCAAATACGAGGGAGTTGAGTTGAGCTTCTCGTCGGGCAGAAGGCAATTCTTCAACGTTAGCACGATCTTGCCGTAGGGTTTCGCGTTCGACGCGGCCGTGTTCTTCGCCGGCGCCGTGGAATTCTCCTTCGCGCTCATCTCGAAATCGCGCGATCGATGGAGCGACAGTGAGAGGACGTGAGGGGACTCCTTGTTTCAAGTGTACAAAATTAGTAAAATTTATATTGCCGAGCCAGCTTACCAATAATTTCCAACGCTCAAAAACGAATGCACAGTATATTCTGGCAACTTCAGTAGAGCGTGAATACGCGTGTATCACGAACTATCCGGCACAACACACGAAGGCCGGTAGGAAACAGCAAATCCGTAATTGACTGTGGAGCCCTCGTGCGGCGAAGGTGCGCGTAACAGATGAAAGTACGAACTCGTGCTGCACTTTGGTTGCTTTCCATCAAGAGACACAGGGTCTGTTCGTTTTCGCTGCACCGCTGAACTAGTGCAATAAATTGAAGTGAGAAAACATATACTTGTCTCGCTTCAACTTATTACACTAGTTCAGCGGTGCAGCAAAAACGAACAGACCTACAAATTGTTATAAGCTGGTATTCATAGTCGGATCTTAGATTTAAGCAGTCTTAGATTTATCTTCAGATGCTGTACGGCTTATTTCATTGGCTACGAAGCATCTGATGATGAACTTAGTCTTAATATAAAATCTAACCATAGAAATACTATTACTACTTTTACGTTAAATAATACGATATACATTACAACGTGTGATTACTAAAATAAATTACAACGAGAAGATTCAACGTCCGGATTTCGCACGTGAATATTCGGGAGGAACAAACCAGGTGTTACTATATAAGAAAAATTTATTAAAGGAGATACAGCACAGAAATTGTACGAATTTAATGAATGTTCAAGAGTATAATAATGTATTTCTCGTATTTATCGACATATCTTGGTTCTTTCTCTCACCGGTCAATATATAAAACACAAGAAATGTATTGCATTCTTCATCAATTCGATTCTCGTGTTACAAAGTAACAGACGCTCCCATGCGCGTGTTTTTGTGTTTATCGTAATATAATAATTATAAATATGTACATCGCAAAATAATACAATCAATATGATACAATTAATACGAGCGGCATACCGAGAAACTGCGTATATATATATAACGTAACAATTATACAATTATATATATATATATATGTATGTATACATAGTTTAACACATATAACTGATAAGTAAAAACATAACATAAAATAGGACACTAACAATGCCGTACGGAATCAGCATTCACTGGGGAAAGTCCAGCTCGTTCTCCAAGAATACGGTGCGTCTCGCGCGCTTTCAATTCCCAGCTAACAAAAATCCGTTTTGTACACACCGAACTGTATTCGCATCGTATTCCTTGATATTAACAACACCGAATTACTAGCAATATCAAACGACCAAGACACTTTCTTTAAGCGGAGCATTGATCCTTCGTGGATGTGTGCATTCTATCTCGAGGAATCAGCCTCTGTCTGAGGCAGATGCCAAACCCGCGGAAGCAGACTTTGCGCAGGATCTGTAAGTCTTTCGCTCGCTTGCCAGCAGGAAGTACAATAGGAGCCGCTAACGGATCAACCGTAGAAATCGGGCGGGTTCCGTGCTTTCGCAATCATTTCAATGGAATATACCTGCGGATCATTTTAACCCGGCAAACATAATGCAACATGTAACATATCTGTCACTTGTAATTTCCCATTCAACAATGTAACTGTTATTTAACGCGTGTGTTATACAACAGATTGTTGAGTAGGAAATTACAACTAACATTTCTATAACTGTTGCTTCGTGTTCGCTGGGATGTTACATTGCGCTTGCTGGGAATTTATCTTGACTCATTTAGAAGTATTTTCGATACGTTTAAGCGGAACACGCCGGAGACCCTGTTGAGCTGCATGTCATCAAGTTCTCTCTGTCGACGGAACGTGAGCTCGACGCGGACACAGAACCCGTCGCCTATCTGCCAGCACACGGCGGACCACATTTCCCAGCAAGCCAACAGTAACGTAACATCAATGTTACAATTTCCCGCTGCACAATGTAAATGCGATGTAACAGTTACACTTGGTCCGTTCTTTTCAGCTGAACCGGCTGTACTAGTTTAAGAAATATACGCACACTGGTACGCGAGTATCCCGGTATGCACATTTCATGTGTGTATAAATTCTTCAACTAGTGCAACCGGCTCGACTAAAAGGAACGGACCAATCGGGAAATGATAAGACTGATGTTATGTTATCATTACCCAATGAGTGGAATATCCAAAATCGACGCACAAGACAACTTGAAGACATCTCGAAGAGCTCTTTAAGAAACATGCCGTCGATTTTGGACATTCTGCTCACCGGGTAGTTGATGAGGGTTTGCTGAGGGTTCTTCGCTCTCATCAGGTGGCTCGGAAGCTGCGAAAGACTCGAGAAAAACCACCACGTTCCCGACGTTACACAAGTGGATCCACAAATTCTCACTTCCGGAATGTTACGAGGCAATATAGCTTCAAATCGATAACACGGTTCTACTACGTACTCCGAGTGTGTAAACGTGTGTGCGTGTGTGTGTGTGTATGTGAAAGATGCGAGCCTCTGCGAGAAATTTGAAAAAATAAAACTCTCGGTCTCTTTTACGCTACGTACCGTCGTGTAAACCTTATGATATACGCGCTCGTCCCCTCTCTCGCGCGAGGGGGTTCCTCTCGGCTTCCTCCCGCTTCGCATGATAAATAGTGTACCGTGTACGCGTCCTTAGTATCTCGAGAACGACGAACGCACGCACCCTTTGATTCGTTATGGCAGTGTTTCGCCTGTCGCGTCCCTTTGAACTACACCATGTGTGCTTCTTCCTCCTCCTCCTCTTCTTCTCCGCCCCTCTTCGCGTCATCACCGCGGGGTGTCTCCCTGGGGATTCGGTTGCCGAGTAAAAATATAGATTTCCCGCGTGATAACCGCGCGCGCGACACCGGCGAGAGATCTCCGGCGCGATGTCACCACGGAGGAAGCAGCTGCCGCGGAGAAGGTCCCGCCTCGAGGAGGAAGCATTACGAGCGCTCGACGACGTCCTTCTTGGGCTTCGCGGCGAGCTCGCCGGCGTCGTTCGCCACCGGGCTCTTCCGCTCGATCTTGTCCGCCTTGGGCTCCTCGGCGTGCCCGTCGCTCTTCCTCGTCGCGTTCAGACTCTTGAGGAAGTTGCCTAGATGCTCGGCGGCCTCGGGATTGTTCGCCCACTCGTTCGACGGGAAGACCGCGAGCAGTCTCTTCTGGACCTCGGTGGTCAGCTGCTGCTTGGCGTCGGCCAGCTGATTGGCCGAGAGCTTGTCGTCGCCGGGCGCGCCGCTCGTGCCGTCGGGCTGGGCGAGCGGGTCGGGGGGTTGGTGGCCGTCGCTCGACGCCCGGTCCGTCGCGCGACCCTTGCTGCTCTCCACCGTGACCGAACTGGAGTCCGGGCTCGCCGGAGGCTTGCAGCTGCTCGTGTCGACCTTCGGCGGACTGCTGGACGTCGCGACGTTCGCAGCGGTACTGGTCGCCGCTCCACCCCCCTCGGAGTCGCTCTTACCACCGTTGCCATCACAGTGGCCAACGGCGGCGTCTTCGCTCCGCGAGTTGTTACTACTACCAAGAGGTGGCGACGGGGAAGCGGTCGACGACACGCTCGGGCTCGCGGTGTCGTGCTGCTGCTTCGAGCTGCTGTCCGTCATCAGCGAATCGCTCCTGGCCTCGGTCGAATCCTTGGAGGTCGTCTCCATCGCGCTCGTCTGATCGTTGCCGCTCTTGGCGTCGGCGTTACCGCGCGAGGACAGCCTGCTGTTCGCGCTCTCGACGCCCGAGGAGTATCGCGTTTGCATAGCCGAGCGCGGGGATACGCAGCTTTCATCCCCGGCATCGTTCTTGCGCTGGAACAACGACGGCTTGACCGTGTCGCTCGACACGGGCCTGATGCTGATGCCCGCGGGCTTGTCGACCGAGTGCTTGTTGATGGGGACCGCGAGGGGTGCCACGGACGACCTGGCGGGCTTGACGGGCGCGCATTGCGCGGCCAAGTGGCTCGTCTTACCCTGGATGCCGCTTAACCCGCCGGGGTTCATGCGGCCGGCGTCGCACCCCAGGCTCTCGGCAGCGCGCGACACCAACGGCGGCATTTTCAGCTGATACTGCTGCGTCTGGCTCAGCACGTAGAGGCTCTGCAGGCTCGGAAAGACGGACGAGAGGTTCGAGCCGGGGCGACCGATGTCGCCGAGGCTCGGTGCGTAGACAGGAGTACGCGACAGCGACGCAAGCGGCGGACAGTCGTTGACGCGATGAGCGGCGGGCGTGAGAGAGCCCGGCGGAGCTCGGTAATACCTGTGACCGCCTACGACCGTCACCATTTGACCTTGATCGCAGATACCGTCCGACGAGCTGTCGCTCGCTTTGTTGTTGGCTTTCAGCTTCGCCACGGGCTGCGGGATCCTCAGAGGGTGTATGTCCAGTTTCTTGCCGCCGCTGAGGTCCAATATGGACTCTTGGTCTCTTCTGCTGCGTTTCGCTGGTGGTGGAGTCCGTTGTTGTTGATGCTGTTGTTGCTGCTGCGTGGTCTCGCTCTGCTCGCCCGGCTTGACAACCGACAGTTTCGTCAACTTCGGCATCTTGATCTGCCCCGTCTTCAGCGCCTTCAACACGCGCGGATCGACCGAGCAGTCGTTCAACGTGATGGTGGGGTTCATCTTGCCCGCGGCCTTCCTGTCGTTGACATCGACGGCCTCGAACTGTCCCGAAGCTCCGGGCGACTTGGGCGAGGTCAGCGTTATACTCAGACTCGACGGGATGTTGAGGCCACAGCCGTCCAAGAGGTTCCTAGTGTCGTTCGAAAGCATCTGACCGGCGGGCGGTTTCGCGTTGGACACCGGACGACTCGGAGAGCTGCTGTGGTAGTCGGACGGGCCGCTGCTCGCAGGGACCAAGTGCTCCGACGAGGGGATGTGCGGTAGCTTCGTCAGCGAGGCACTCGCCGGGGGCTCGGCCGGCTTCCTCGGGCTTTGGTTCTGCGCAGGAACGTGTTGCCGTCTGCGCTTCATATCGTTGATGGGAACACCCGGCGGACACTTCCTCTTGACCGCTCCGGCCGGGGGGGCCGGCGGGTCGCTCGAGTGAAAGACGTACACGTCCATCTTAGAAGCTGAATGACCACCGTTCGCCGAGCCGCTGGAGCTGAACGACGCGCGCGACGATGCGTCGGCATCGTCCGAGACTCTGGTCGCAACGACGCGCGTGTTTTTACCAGCCAGCGCACCGCCGAGACGCTTCGCGAACGTGCTCGCCACGGCGTCGCCGTTGCTCGAGCCGGTGTTCACCGTCCCGCTGCACTTCTCGAGGAGAACCTTGACCTCGTCCGTCACACTGTGCGTCGTCGGGTCCTTCTTAGGAGGATGCGCCTTCTCTTTCTTCTGCGAGTGGTTGATCTCGCCAGACGCGCCGATGCCCCGAACGGGAGACTTCAGCGCGCTGTCCTCCGCCGGTACCGATTCCCGGGCGGTCAACTGGAAACCCTGCAGGAACTGCTTCTTGTCCTGCTGCTCAGCCGGTTTCTTCAGCGCGGTTTTCGGCACGCTCGCGACGCCACCACCGCTGGGAGACGTCCTCTCCTTCATCGGCTGGTCCATGAATGTTACCTTACGTCGCTGCTTCTCCTGCTGCTTGTCCTGCCCCGACAGCTCTTTCTCCTTCTCCTTCTGCAGCTGTTGGACCAGTAAAGCGTCAGACGCATCTTTTTCTAACGGTTGACCGCAACGTAACAGAATGTTACTTACGACCTTCGGTTTTTTCACGTTCGCGCCGCTCGTCGGCGAACACTGTTTCAGCGTGATTTTCACGCCGTTCGAATTCTGGCCGTTCCCTATACTTACGACACTGAATTCGGGCTTAACATCCGGCGCAGGAGCGGTGGCGACGTTAGCCTGCTCTTTCCCGTTCCAGTTGCTCGACGAACTCCTCAGCACCTCGTACCTCCCATCTGAATTCTTCATTATTTTAATCGGGCTCTTTATCTGCTTGTTGTTCGTATCGTTGGACGTTGTCGTAGTCGTCGTCGCTGGCGTCGTCATCGTCGCCGTCGTCGTCACTGTCGATGCCATTGTGGCCGACATCGCACTCGTCACCGTTGACCCTGACGATGACACAGTTGTCGATGATGTTTTCGTTGCTTTGCCTCCCGTGGCTGACGTTGACGACATCGTTGTCGTCGTCAACGTCGTCATGCTTGTAGTCGCATTTGTGGTAGTCTTAGTCTTGCTCTTGCTCGGTCCGTCTTTAGCTATTGCTTCACTATCCGTCGTCTGTTTGTTATCCACACGCAAGCTCGCTTTGTCGTTCGTGATTTTGCTCGACTCTTTCGTCGTAGACGCTTTATCTTTCGCCGTGAACGCTTCATCTTTCGCCGTGAACGCTTCACCTTTCGTCGTAGACGCTTTATCTTTCGCCGTGAACGCTTCATCTTTCGCCGTGAACGCTTCACCTTTCGCCGTGAACGCTTCATCTTTCACAGGGAACGCTTCATCTTTCGCCGTGAACGCTTCATCTTTCGCCGTGAACGCTTCATCTTTCACTGTGAACGCTTTATCATTCGCCGTGAACGCTTCATCTTTCGCCGTGAACGCTTCATCTTTCACCGCGAATGCTTTATCTTTCGCCGTGAACGCTTTATCTTTCGCCGTGAACGCTTGATCTTTCGCCGTGAACGTTTCATCTTTCACCGTGGACGCTTCATCTTTCGCCGTGAACGCTTTATCCTTCGCCGTGAACGCTTTATCTTTCGCCGTGAACGCTTTATCTTTCACCGTGGACGCTTCACCGTTCGCCGTGGACGCTTCGCCATTCGCCATAGACGCCTCGTCATTCGCCATAGACGCTTCGTCGTCCGCCATAGACGCCTCGTCGTTTGCCGATTTCGCATCCGATCCTGGGGTCGCCGGCCGGTCAACGGAAGCATTCGAGTTATCGTCGTCTTTCGCGTTGACAGAGACAGCATCGTTCGGCGGTAGACACGCTCCGAGCCCCGGAGTCGACGGTCTTTGATGCAATGGAGCCTCGAGCCTCTGCTCCTCCAGCACCCGGTAGAAGAATCTCATCGGTGCGATCTGCGAGAAGGGTAGTTATTAGTCAATAACAATCAAGTCTTCCCATTCGACATAAATGCGCATGGATAAATAATTTTTAATTATTTAATATTTTTGAATTAGATGATAATTTTGGAAGTAATTTGGAAGTTTAGACGATATTGAGTCTACAAAATTTTAATCTTTTCAAAATTATCTATGAGGGAGAGGAACTACCTATTAATAATTATTGACTATTATTAAAATAATATAGTAATTATGGAAAATGGTTTCATATATAAATAATATATCATAAATTTGAGTTACACTTTTCCACGCATAAGTGTAAGCACAAATGTGAGCATAAATAATTTTTGTTTACTTAATAACGCTGAATTGGATAATTTTGAACGCATCAAATTACCCTTTTCCATGCGTAAATGTAAGCGACGTCCATGAGGGTCCAATTCTCTGGGAGCGCCGCACGCCGATGGCAGATATCGATGGTGTATCTCGTCATGTCGACGCTGTACTTGAGCGCCAGGAACTTCTTCAGGTGCGCGATAGTCACCAGAGCGGGACACTGCAGATACCTTCTGTTGTTGCCGTTGTTGTAATTATTGTTGTCGGTACCGTTGCTCTCGGCATTACCGCTATCATTATTACTGCCGTTCCCGGCATTAGTGCTATTCGAGTGGCTCGCGTCCATGTCCGTGGAGAGATTCAAGATCTCCAACGGATCCGTTTTCGCCGAGATATACTCCAGGCTTAAACTCACCGCGTCCTCCGGGGCAAAGATCAGTCTGCCACTCACGTCTTCTCCGCGTTGCTCCAATGTGGCAGAGTCTACTGTTGGGAAATTGACACTCGATATATTCGGGGTATCGTTTTACTTCCAGAAAGAAGGGAGATATTATGAGAGTGGGGTGTTGGGAGTGTTAAACTTTAAGAATAGCAAATATATACCTTGCTCGGGATGCTTCTTGTAAAACTCCCTTCTTTTCCGCATCTCCTTGTGATACAACCCGGGCACCATTTTGTACACGATTTCTTGTAAAGCCTTGTCGGCTCTGAAAGAAATTCGCATTTCATGAATAACCCGATTGTGAGACAACTTCTGATGTACACGCGAAATATACCTTCGGCGATAATCATAATCAGCTTTTACATTTAAAATCGTTTCAAGTTCATTTGAGATGCTGTAAGTTTTTTTATTGGCTACGTGGCATCAGCTTCGAATGAAATTCAGACGATCTGGGATACAAAATTTATGAATATCTCCCTTGACTGTTTTCCAAGTGTTCCTTATTTTCAGCAATTTATCTTATCTGCATTTATATATCTTTTTACTTACGGCAATATTATCGACGTAAATGATCTTTTTTTTTGAATAATTAACGACTAACAGCTATCGTCTTACTTGATATTTGGTTTGGCCTTGTGGAGCGCATGTTTGCACGATGGACAGTGCGCCGCTTTGCTGAGATGTTTCAAGATGCAGCTTCTGCAAACTGAATAATAAAAGCGTGACGCATTAGTCATCGTAAGTGGTAATCGATAAAAATCTAGAATCGGCTTGAAGCTCGACTTCACTTACAGGAGTGTAAGCACTCCACCACGGTTGTGGCATCTATAAGGTAGCCCCGGCACAGCGGACAGATCAGATGAGGGTTGACCTCACGTAAGAGTGTTCGTTTGCCAACACCAGCCATCTCTTCGTGGAAATGAATTGCGAGACGCGGGATCTGCAAAGAGAAAACGCAAGCATTTTCACCGTCGGCCCGAGTCTCGAATGTAGGATTTAATCGGTATTGTCAGTACCGACCTCATAAAAAGAATGATAAAAGACGTCGTTTTAACGTCACGATACTTGGGTGGATATATCGGAGACTTCTCTTTTGCATATAATAAGACATAAAATAATATAGAGAGATAATTCATAGATGAATAACAATTTTATATGATTTGTAAGCAAGGGAGAAAGAGGGGCGAGAGGGAGTCCGCAACGATAATTTTTGGACATTGTATAATAAATTAGCTCGTGCATTTTCCAAACATCCATCAGGATAACACGACCAATGTGTTGAGAAAAAGGACATTTCTTCGGAGACCCCTTCCGAGATTTCCCAACTTTCGCTTCTATTTGAATTCGGCGAACTCTGAACTCGCCGCAGAGCAACAACTGACAATGGCTCAGCGCACAAACGGTGGCGCTGTGTCATCGGTGCGCGTACAGTCGAACATTTTTCCAAAAAGGTTGCTGTTGCTCTCTCAGGTAGCCCACGGCCTCTTTGCCCCCGTCACTTCCCACCATCCCTTTTCGACCTGGTCGACTACAACAACACGGATGCGTTTTCTCTCTCTCTCTCTCTCTCTCTCGCTGTTTAGAATCGTCCTTTCCGTTTTTCCGCTCGCCCGGTGCGGTTAAACCGCCAAACGTCCCTTGCAACATACACACGTATTCGCGTGTGTGCACGCCCGTCGAATACCTGGCGGTATTGATCGAATATATCGCGGTGTTTTGCGGCCTGACGATAAGTTTCATCGTCTCTCACTAAGTTTTATCGCATTAAGCGAGACGAATCTCGTAGTACCAGCAATACCTCTTCCTCTTTTTTCTAGCGTTCTTCCCCTAATTTTTCCGTTTGTCTCCACGTGTTTCCGGCGACTTAGGCAGAAGCTGGACACACGACAATCGCGCGTCATAAACACATATCGCGGAGAAAAGGAATCCCACCCTAGTCACATGCAGGGACAGATCCTCTTTGGTACTGACCTGTCCGGCGAATACCACTTTCTCTCTTTTAGCCTTTTTTTAAAACGATTTTGAGGTGAGAGACACGAGCTTTTGAAACGGGTTCTAAAGAGGAAACGGCGAAAAAAAAAAAGAGCCGAGACATTATTGATGGGGCGAATGAGTCGGTGATATTTTTTCTGTTTCTTGTTGGAAATTCTCGACGGACGACGGTGCAAGACGCGAGCGGGATAATCCCGTGTACGAAGACGACGGTAGAGCATGCATTCGGTTCCGCACTTTCGCTCGCCCCGTTGGATTCGAGGCGACGAACGAAATATTTCGCTCGACCGTCGATCCTTCTCTTTGCGCGGCGCTTCATCCCGCCGCCGGTTAGTTACTCGGATTATTTCGCGCCCCCGAGGCGCGCCCGCGGTACACACCGCGGCGTTCCGCGATGTCTAGTACCTACGTCTATTTATACCAGAGCTACTTCTCTCGGAGGGGGAGACGAAGGAGCGAAATTCTCTCTCGTGGCGCGGCACACCATGGCGAATGATCGAGGCGAGAAAGACACGGATGTCCCGTACAATATCGCGGAGGACCCGCATCTTTCGCATTGATTAATATGTGTCGTGAGTGAGCGGAAGGTGCAGGTGGAGATAACGCGACAGCCAACGTTGACCGGTAATAAGGGACGAAATCAAGGAACCTTGCGTAGCTTCGACTTGATCACTCGTCACGTTTAACGGGATCTCAGTAACGATCGAGCAGCTTTCCTCCGGAAACGCGAAACTACCGAAAAGCGTCGCGAGAAATTTTTCATTTTTCTCACGCTTGATCCGCTGTTTCCAGGGAAATATCACGATCGTTACCTTCGAAACGATCACGGTCGTGTCCTATCGTGTATTGTCGCGCGTTATCGTACTTCTGTGGAAAAGAATAAGAGAGCTTAATGATAATATAATGGCAATAATAATTTTCTCGAACGCAATAATAGTCGCGTCCAATAAATTCGACATACACGGAACGAATTTTATAGTAAAGATTATTGTAGAATTTTGTTAACGTGGATATGTACATTCAAAGACAAAATATCTAAGAAATAAAAAATATTTATTCGGTGGGTATTAATAATATATTTACTTACATGGTATAAAGTGTTAGTTCAATACGTTCGCTACCAGCGTCACATATGTGTGACACACCGATTTCTATTGAGAGCTCAGCGTCACACATAACGATAATCGATTTTTATTTATTCATTTCTTAAACAAAGGAAGTCTGTTCTGAACTTGACAAATATGCTTGAAGACAGTTACAGGTAAAAGACATGTAAATAGCCTAAAATATATATTACTAGAATATAATATATAACTTTCATAAAATATTAAAGAAATTTCTCAAAAAAAAAAAAAAAATAAATAAAGATAAAAATGAAGATTTATTTTAGTCAAACTTTACATAGTTATATTTTGTCAATACGAATTTCATATTACTCATCGATTCTTCTAAAATTCGTCTTGTCACAAATATGTGACACTTTTACGCTGAGAAATCAAACCATTTTTTTTCAAATAAGGAAACATACATTTTCTTAAATCTGTATCTTTTCTTACGAAAGCAATTATATATTCTATTTAAATGAGAGAATTTATATTTATATAAATATGTTAATATCCATTGAATATTGCTTATTTTTCAGATATTTTTCTCAGTATAGACATTCTGTCTTACTATATCACCTTCATGTCTCATATATATACGTCATACTTATATCTTAAGAACTGAAGTCTATTGTTAAACAATTTACTACTTTCTTAGCGAAACATTCCACTGACAGCCCACTCAGCGGCGCCACTAGAGAATACGGCAAAGTCGCAAGGTACTTCGCACGAAGAAAGTTTGTAACACCCTCTCTCCTCTGTCCATTTCTTTCGATAAATCTTTTTCCGGCGTCGTTATACTTTAAACGCGCGTTTAATCGAGCTTCGAGAGAGACGACGTAGCCGCTCGTCGACGCGATCCGCTTTCGTTCATCGATAAAGCAGGACCACCACAGTGTCTCGTCTTGAGATCCGGCGCGTCCGTCGCCGTAACGCGATCAACCGGGGGAATCCACCGGCACGAACAAAAAGGCGCACACGTGCTTCGGAAATTAGCACGTGCTGCGAGAGCAAGCGGTCGTCTCGTCTCGCCTCATCTCTTCTCGCCTCGCGCGAACGCAACGCGACGCGCGCTCGTGTCAGCGCGTTGTGCAAAAAAAAAAAGAGCAAGCAGAAGCGGACGGACGATGAAGACGGCCTTTGTGCCGGAGGTCTCTCTTCTCTCTCGGAGCGCTGGATAATGTTCAAAGTAACGGTGTGCGCGCTCGTTTTTTCTTCCGATCCCTCCCCTGTCGCGCGCGCAGGGCTGCCCTACGAATCGACGTTTGCTCTACACGTTGCGCCGGCCTCTATTTCCTCCTCCTCCGTATTATTTCCTGAGATTACTCCCCGTACTGTACGCTCTGTGTTCCGATTTGCGCGGGGAGAGAGCATCGACGATCGGTAGAAGAATCGCTCTCGCGCGCGCGAGATACTGTTTCGGCATCGGACGGCGGCGGCGACGGCGCGTAGAAACAGGAGGGCGTCCGACGACCCTAGGCAGACGCGCCAGGCCGCCGTTCGCAGTCACCTAGCGACCAGAAAGACACATACCGCGAAAAGCGACCGCTGGGGGAGCGTAGGCGAGCTTTCGCGTCGGCAACGGGAAAAAGAGGAAGCTGTCGGCTCGAACTCGGTTGTGTCGCCAGTTCGATTTGCCATAAGGAGCAGATCGAAGATCGACCGATCGAGATGAATCAAGGCTTCATATTGGTCGATTTTTAACTTTGTGGTGAGAGAGAGAGAGAGAGAAGGAAAATAGGATCATCTGATCAGATAGTAGATGCTGCGAGTTTCGTTCGCGCGCGATAAAATCAAGATTAAAATTAGATATTATATGTGTTAATATAGAAGAAAATAATTCGGGGGATTTTACTTGGGAATGTTCCTTAAGTATAATATTTTAGGATATAGTTTAAAAATTTCGGAAATAAAAATAGTTTTCTCCCAATTTTTCCTCGGATTTCTTCAATTTCTATCCCAGGGGTACGGAAATTCGTTTAGAAAAATTCACGCGCGTTCGATTAAAACCAGCTGCTATATTTACTTTTTTCCGTAAAGAAACCGAAAAAGCATTCACGGATAAATTGGACAAAAAACTTTTTTTTTCAAAATTAAAACTATATTTTAGGAATTGCTTTTCAGTTCATGTTATGAAGAAATAAATATATGTGAATTTTTCTTTATCAAATAACCTCAGAAATCAACTCCTAAGATATCAGACAATAAGTTAAGAAACCTATATATTGATTTATTTGCTACGACAGTATGAAAAATTTACTGTCCTTCTAAAGTATTTTTTTCCGTGAAGATTGGGATCAAATTAGATGTTTGTTGCTTGTCATTAACGAGCTATTACATTCTGCAAGTATCTTAATTCGTAATCTTAGACAGAAGTTAGAAAGATTTTTGTTCGGACTGAGAAAGCAAACGTCAACGTAAGGCTTTTGTTGAGAATTAAAGTCTTGGTATCCATTTTAGAAATGCTCCATTTCAGCACGTTTTTCAAAGTGTAAAATGGTTTTGTTGCGGGATGACATTGATTCATTAACATCTGGTTTCCGACGTTTTCCATCGTTCAAAGTCTGTTGGTTCAGGTATTGACTTTGACAGAATCGAAACTTATTCCCATTTCTAGGGTTTTTGCAACCTTGAGATGTAACAATAGTGCCGCCTTTGCGCATAATGTAGCGCGCTGTAAAATTTCATGCGCGTTTGGCGCGCAAATGGCGATTTTTTTTTTCAATTAGTTTTTTCTACATTTGTTGAACATACTAACATTTGAATTATTTTATAATTCGTAACATAACCAACACAGACTGAAAAAATCATCGTCAGAATATAAAATAATTATGTTATATAAATAATTGGTCGTGTTATTTAGTTCAATGATTTTTACAAAAAAGAGAAAAAACGACTGCAATACCAGCATATCACGTATTTCTGCGAATCCGTGTGTTTCTTTTTCGAGAATATTCACAGTGCTATTTTACACTCAGCGCTGTAGTAATAATAGCGAAATAAATTCGTCGCTACCGGTAACATTTATGTCGCGTTAAATAACGCGAGCGAATCCTCTTGGTGTCGTGATCGCCTCTCGGCCGCTAATAACGTATTTCACTAGCGATATTTATTCCGACCAGTATGTTTGTCGACGAATCTTGCGCGATTCCGTTGAGGACAGAACAGCTTGGAATGAGAAAACGTATAAATATAAGTATATACAGCGAAGAGAAAACGAGAAAGAAAGATATAGAGGATAGATAGATAGATAGAGAGAGAGAAAGAGAGAAGGGAGAGTGATACAAGGGTACAGGAGGGAAGGGAATACAGAGGGTACATGGGGTACAGAGAACGAACGAACGAAGGTACGAGAGAGAGAGAGAGAGGCATCCGTCCCGTCGCTCCATCTCTCGCACACAGACGCAAACGCTTACCATTCTCTCTGTATGCACCGTCAACCGGCGGCTCTGCGTATCAAGAGAGTGTGCCGCGTGCGTATGTGTACGTGTAGTACGCGATTCTGCTGTATCGCTATGTGTACGTACGACTGTAATGTATATACCCGTACTTACGTGCGAGCATGCGAGTCCGATGGCCGATGCGCGAGACGACGAGAGCCAGGTAACGATGTACACACACTACGTGAACGTTCCCAGCGCGATTCTAAGCGCACAAGAAGCGTGCTACGCGAGGTGTGTATGTATCGCGACACGCGTTTCACAACGGCGACACACCACGGTGAGGGAGGAAACGCTATGTGGACGGCGATATGAACGTCTCTCTCTTTCTTGGGGTCCTACAGACCGCACGTTCTCTTTCTCTCTCTCCCGCTCTCCTCCGTCTCTCTCTCTTTCTTCCCCTTCCTGGCTGTCTTTGTCCAGGGTAGCCAGCCTATGATAATGTCGCGTGGAATGGCGCGATCTCACCGCTCGACGTGCGCGTCACGTTACGGCCACGACGATCGGCCACGATCATCTCGCGTGGCGCGCAAGACGCGTCGTCGTGTCCCCGCGTTCGCCGGCCAACGAAAACGCCGAAGGGGGAAACAGCCTCGCCGCTATCGGCGCACGATGGTGAAGAAACTGCACGGTGTATGTGACGGGCGGTCACGAAATTACGGGAGCCGGAGGATAGCGCCGCGCGGCGAGCGACCGAACTAAATGCGCGACGGCCTACTAACGAGGGACGGCGGCGAAGATAGGTGAGAGCGCGCGCGACACACCAACGGAGAACCAACGACGACGGCGTCTCATGCCGAACTAAACGCGCCGGAGTGGGAATGCCCTTTCCCCTCCGGACGCTCTCCCTTCCTCTCTCCCGCCCGCCCTTTCCGCCCTTCGAACTCGCTCTCTCGCGCTCCCTCCCTCCCCACTCTCTCGCCTCATCGTGACTTCCCCTCCACTCGTTTGTCGTCGCTCTTTTTCTTTCTCTCCTTCTCTCTCCTTTCTGTCCTTCGGTCGCCGATGCGACTACTAGCACGGTCCTATGTTCGCTCTCATCTCTCTCTCTCTCTCTCTCTTTCTCTCTTGTCTCCGCCGCTCGACTAGCGTGTCGCTCACTCGCTCATCTCTTCCCCTCCCTCTCTCATTTTTCTCCCACCGCTCCGGTCGTACCTCCTCGTATCCCCCGTTCACCCCAACCCTCCTCAATCATTATCATTCTCTTTCTCGCTTACTCTCTATCTCTCTCTCTCTCTCTCTATACGTGACCGGATAGTGTACGTACTTCGAGCTGGCATAGCGGCACGGAATTACCCCTCTCACAGCGGTGCCGTGTATTCCCTTCCCGCGCGTCGTTACTAGCAGGGATTACGACTACCAACTCCCTCCTACCAACCATTCCCGCGCGTCCCGCCCGTCTTGCGTTTACCCCGTCACGGCTTCCACCCAACGTCCAGGTTCTACCATCTCTCCTGCCCTCGCCGTTGTTACAGGGACGAGGGAGAACAAAGAGGAGCCGGAGGGAGAGAGAATAAAAGAGCGAGAGAAAAAGAGGGTGCGAGTGGCGGCCCTTGTTTCCCCTTTCTTTCTATCTTTTTCCTTTTTGCACACGACCCTCTCTAGCCCTGTGCCTTCCTCTCCACAGACGATTCTCTCAATCCCCCCGTCGCTCAATCATCCTTTCTGCGTGACTCTGGCCGCCCTTTTCTCCCCATTTTGTTCTACGTTTTTCCCTGTGTGTCGAGCGACCCTTCTACCACTCTCTCTTTCTCTCCCTCTCTCTCGCTTGCACACAAACCTCGTTCCGCTACTCTTTTTCCCTGCTGGCTCGCCCTTCTGCCTTTCCCGAGAGTTTCAATCTCTCTTCTCTCTTCACTTCACGCTCTGCTTCTTTCTCTGCCCGCTTCGTAATCGCTTCTTCTTCGCTTGCTTGTTTCCTTCCCCCCTTTCGTTTCCCTTTCCATCGTGATCTCGCCTTCCTCCTCCTCCCCTTCTTTTCCTGCCTGTCCCCTCCCTCCTTCTTTTGCTCTCTTCGTAGATGTAGCGAGAGGAGCCTCGAATCGCAGGCTCCGGGATGTATGCGATTTCTCTTGCGATCATCGTTTCCCGTAATCTCTCTCTCTCCCTCCCTCCCTTCCCTCCCTCTCCCCCCCCCCCNTTCTCTTGCGATCATCGTTTCCCGTAATCTCTCTCTCTCTCTCTACCTATGGGATCCGTAAGTGGAAGAGAAGAATGCTACCGCCTGTTGAAATACAAGAACGATTGCAAATCGTGGTTTTCAGATGAAAGAATGATTTGTATTTCGAACGCAACATTTAAGAATCGTGACTCGTGCAACACACGCACATGCAACTAATACAATAATAATTAATTCACAATAATGATTGCGCATAAAATTATTATTGATAGCAGTGCATAAGCAATAATCGTGAATATTTCATCGTGATCGAGTGAAAGGCATCTACAACAATGTAAAAATAGAAGCTATCGTATAAAATATTTACTTATGGCAGGAAAACCGCACGATAAAAAGTGTACACATACAAGCTATCCTACTTTCATATCATTAAGATTAAAGTTGCGAGTCACACCGCATCGTATAGACTCTGAGACTTCGAACGGAAAGCTATGCTATAATACAGTACAAGAATAGAAATTCACAATAGACAAGTAACGTGAAAATGTAAAGTGAGGAGTTTGTGTGGTGGTTCATAAGATAATAAAATATTCAGAGTATTTGTCATAAAGGAAATGTTCTTCCTGAGACAGCCATTGTATGAAAGGGAAAAAGAGTGATATCCTTCCTTTTGACACGGATGATTTTATTCTCATGATTCTCAATTATTCATTACCAGATTCAGAAAATCGAAAATTATCGGTGGATTTCTGTTACAGATAATAAAAAGCAGATTGACAGCAAGATATGCTGTCAAATCTATGTGTAAGACACGTGATAACGGATATCGAGCCCGAAACTTATCTTGGTATTAAGACTTATTAGTGTAACAGTTAATGACCGATATTGAATTATATTTCCAAAAGAATAGAAAAATTTAGACTCAGAGGCGAGACAAATTTAAAAAAGGAATGCCAACGATTTTTACTATTTATATCTTTATAAATCATTCTTTATGTATAACACCGCTTTAAATAAAACAGATTTACAAAACAAACAAATAAATAAATAAATTACTAAATGAAAAAGATAAATATAATAGGTCAACGTGGTATATACAAAACCCGCTATCATTTCGACTAAATAATTCTGGCAAAGTATCGAGATTACATTGAGAAGATTTTTTCAAATTTAATACATTTTATTATATCCAAATTTCATCATTGACGTGCTCCAAAGAAATTAATGTTTCGATTAATAAGTACGATTGTTAGACTTTTCAACGAATATGTATCTTTACCTTAAATAAAAAATTTGTTTGAAACGAAAGATAATTTTATATAAAGGAATTATTTGTTTCATTTTATTTATTATATACATATTTATTGTAACCCAATACTATTTTGCTTAGTTAAAAGATATTATCTTAAGTAATAGCGTTCTTTCTATTAAATAATAGAGTTTTCTTGAACGAGACAATAAAAGTTTTAAACAAACAATATTTCGTATAAGTGTATGTTGTTTCTATAAAACAAATTTTAGTCAAACAAATAGAAATAACAAAATCTAAAGATTCTCTTTGTATTAATCTTCTTCTCTGTGTAATCCTCGTGATTACCATGGCCTTCATTCACGTTTTAGCAATAGACTAGAATAATTTATCACTCAATGTGCATTTGATATTATCGAGATCAAATCTGAATTATTGCTAAATATGCGTTTGCATTACAGGACTGCTCGAAGCAAGCTCGCTCGCTGCCGGCGCAGAACCTCGCGCAGATCCTTGCGCCTTCGACGGGCAGAATTTAAATCGGAGGAATTTCGCGCGAATCGCGCCTCGGGAGGTGCGATCGAAAAAACGTGAAGGCGTGTGCAACAACGACCGCCTTCGCCGGGGCCCGGTGCATCATTCCGTACCTAATCCGACGTCTAAGATCCTCGTGCGAGTCTTCGTGTGCAAGTGAACTGTAGAGATCTCCACGACGTACGCTATTTGCGCGTACGCCGCGCCTGCGCTGTCCAAATATATATTCCCTCGCGTTTCGCCACGGCGGTGTCCTCTTCTTCCTCCAGGATCTCGCGTATCGTGACACCAGTACCTAGATAACACACGACCAAGGGCCGACTAGGTGTCGAGTACTCTCGATCGCACGTCAGCGGGCAAACCGACATGAGACGTGGATTCTCAAGTCCATGGCACGCACAAAAACATAAGAAGTAAACCGCTGATTATTCTCCTTACGACTGTGACTGGTCAATTCCTTTATCGCTGAAGTCTTACTGTTTGCGTTTTCCCGCGCGCCTTACAGAATAAAACGGTCCTTATAGAATAAGAAAGGCAGTGTGATTAGACACTTTTTTAAGCAGTATCCCTTGCCAAGCTTTCAACTTGCTATTTCAAGGCTACGACAAGGAAAAAAATGAAAAAAAATGAGAAAATCTACAAAGGTAAAAAGAATGCTGGTTAGTTAAGGAACGGTGCTGTCCTAAGAAGGAGAGGCATCCATTTTGGAAGTATATTCTATTTTAGGAAAGAAGAATAGGTCAGGTAGGAACCAATCGTTCAAGCAACGAAGGCCAAAAATGGAGAAATAGAAAAAAAAGGGGAAAAAGAAGAAGGATGGGAATGCAGATTACTAGCTCGATTTGAATTCATGTCACAGATTACATGAGACTGAAAACGAACCAGGTTAATTATCAAGCCGTTTAATCCGGACTCTCGGTTCAATTAAATTAGAAAATTGCGTCTTGAGACGTGCTTGACCGATGTTCTAGAACACCTGAGACTTTTACGGTTGAATTAGCAGCAACTATGATGCAGTGGCAATTGCGATCATTATGTACAGTATATCGAATATGAGGTTTACAGACGGAGAGAACAAACGGTCACTGACCTTTTCATCGAAAACCTTTCATCGAAAGATACGTGACAAGCAACAAAAGGGAACCTCCAGGGAAAACGGCCGAGACAAAATGGCGGTTGCGTACGAAGCGCGCTCCGCCCTGAAAGAATGATTTAGGAAAACCTTACGTATAACTCATAAAGTTTTCAAATATTAGTGGTACCCATAAGTAATGTCGCTTTTTGATACTTATACAAAATTTTATTTTATTTTATATTTAGTATAGATTAATCAAGCAAAGCGATGTTTAATTTATCAAGCTGTGTATAATGATATTCAGCAATTATGGTTTCGTTGGGATTCAAAACCTCATTTATTCAATCTGGAAAAAACTTTACATCACTGACATCTTTGACATTATTTATGGGCACCCCTAATAATGCATATAAATAACCTTAATTATAATATATATGTATGTGTGTTATATGCATGATAGGATTCTAATGGCTCTAATTATAACAGTTTTAACCTTATGTATATACATTTTACGCTGAAAATTGTATAATTTTCAATCTAGGAAGTGGTACAACATGTACGACTGTAAAGTCGACAGATTAAATATAAAACAATTTTGCAAAATTTGATTTCGTAACGCACCTTGCAACGAGAAAATGTATTTTCTGAAAATTATTAAAAAACACTTTCTCTTATTAGACTTGGGATACGCTGCGAGAAACTTATTGGAAAAAGTGTTGCATTTTTAATCTGTCGACCGTGTATGTGTACTTTGTTATGTGTCCTTTGTAGAGCGAATTTTCCATAAGTGCGGACAAATGGTGTAGCCGGCGTAATGGATACACCGGGACGAGTATAGCGTATGGTGTATGCGAGGCAATTTGTGAAGCGGAGTGCATAATTGACTATATGTAAAAATTTCGGATGTTTACACAGTCAAAAATGTTATGATTAAAACGAAATTTTTATGTTATTTTAACATGGGAAATATATTAAAAAATACAAATACACATTCAAATTAATATATTCACTTTTTTAACATATTACTTTTTCACGCATTCATCTCGTTAAAATAACACAAAAATCGAAGTATACCGTTTGTAAAAAAAACCACAAATTGTTTATCGTGTAATATCGCGCTTATGTACGTGACATATGCGCAAATGTGAAAATGTAATGTACGCGCAAGTAGAAAAAGCAATGGCGAAAATGGTAAACTTCATGGTAATAATTTCTATTCGCATCCACGAAAGATCTCGATCTCCGGCGAATATGAAAAAATCTTTGGCAGAGATCCCGCATTATCGGCTTGACGAGCAAATTCCGATATTCCATTAAATTGTGTCGACGGAAATGTTCATTTTTAGGTCAGCGAGCGATAAAGATCGACTCGTTTACACGGAGAACGGAGCGTATATCAATTAATACACTTTAACAATGTATTATTAAACAGCCATCTATCGAATTTTCCGCAACAATCGCATGCGCTACTCCTCACACACACACACACACACACTCACACACACATCAGCTATCCTTCCCCCGAAACTTGCAAATATTTATCGGCCACGGTGTAAGTGCAAAATTGCGAGATATGTTGTAAGCATACATTAAGGCCATTTTCTACAATGGCGTAAAGTATATTCAATAAGATGTGAGTAATAAGCTAATTGACCAAGTGGATTCCTAAGGCCCAGCAACAATGGGGGAGTTTTAGACCGCAACAGTAGGCCGTAAAGACCTATTTTTGGGACCATCTACAGGATCGTCTACAATAGCCGTAAAGTATGCGGAAAAGCGTAATCTACAAGAAGTAAGAATAAGAAATTGACCAATCATATTCGAATGTTAGAAGAATAACTATGATTGGCTAATTTTTTACTTTTATTTCTCATAAACATATTCCAACTGCCCACTGTAGACCACGTTTAAGACATAAGCAGTAAGCTAATTGACCAACCACTGTCGATTTATTTTTGGAATGTACGAATCCAATTGGTCAATTATTACGCTTACTGTTTGTGTTTTACTGCGTACCTTACGGCTATCGTAGACGGTTCTTCAGGGCTATGGCATACACAGAACGTAAGCAGTAAGTTTTAAGCGGTAAGAAGATCGGCCAATCGCGATAGATTTCTCTCTTTACAGTCGGAGAATAATCGACTGTGATAAACTTACTGCTTAAGGCTGATGGCAGAGAACGAAACGTAAACGTTTACATCTGTTGCGGTCGTAGACGTAAAGCAAGGCAGGGAAACCCGTAAATGTAATTGTAACATCCACGCAATAGTCTACGACTTACGTTTTTCTCTGCCTTGCTTTACGTCCACGATTACGACAAAGGTAAGCGTCTCGTTCTCTTCCATCGGCCTAAGTCTTACTGCTTATGTTTTTTCTGTGTACTACGGCTCTAAGAATCCAATTGGTCAATTAGCTTACTCTGCCTACATTTGCATACATACTGTATACTTTACGCTATTATAGACTGCCTACAACATATCTCGCAATTCTGCACTTGTCCAAGAATAATCGACTGTGGTCGGTCAATTAGCTTACTGCTTACGTCTTACTACATTACGCTATTGTAGAACGTTTCAACATTGTACGTTTTTGTGCAACCAAGCCTCGACTTAAAATTCTGCTGACGTAACGTCGACACAAAACAGTAGATATTAAACGCGGGACGAATCCCTTGCTCCGCTAATTATCCGAATACATCATTAGTCGACCTAAATTAACTATAATGCGAACAGTACGGCTCTATTGTCAGTATGGCTGTATTGTTTTCGAAGCGAGGTTACGAAAAGATTTACGAAAAGGGGATACCATGGCGACGAAGAGAAGAATACAAAGGAAACCGCTTCTATTCTCACGGGAACGTCGCTTCCTCAAGAATCGTCTCTTCCGAACGCGACGTTTCTACAGTTTGCGCGAAACCCACCCAGACAGACTGACAGACGTACACGCCGCGTTCGTTCAACGGAACTCGCGAATTAAAAGCGTCGCCTTTTCCATTACAGCAGGCGGTCGCGAGATAAAATCGCAAACATTCATTCTCTCTCTCTTTTCCTCCCTCCCGCCCCACCCCGTCGCGCCACCTTCCAATCCGGTAACCGTGAGCTCTCCGGCTATCCTCGAAGACCCTCTCTCTCCTTTCTACCTGTGACTCTACTCCTCCTCGCCTCGTCACAGGGCGCCGGGGCCAAAATATTCGTGCCCTACGCGCGCCTCCTCTTCTTCCTCCTGCTCCCTTGTACCATCGAGATCCCAGCCAACCGTTCGTTCATCCAGCCGATAGGCTTCCTCTACCGCTGAGAATCCCCTTAAAAAGCGCGTCGTCTCAT